AGAAGGCCGTGTTTATTTTTCTGACCAATTTATTTTGGAACATGTTCTTTATGTGCCCGGATTAAAATGTCATTTAATCTCGGTATCTCAATTGATTGATCAGTCTGCATGTTTAGTTACTTTCACTGATTCGTTTTGTGCTATACAGGACCGTCTCTCGAGGAGTCTGATTGGAGCCGGTGAGAGACGAGATGGGCTTTACTATTTCAGAAAGGTACCCGTGTTGCATACTGTTCACACGTCCGATTTACCTTCATTCGAGTTATGGCACCGGCGCTTGGGGCATCCGTCTGATCGCGTGATTAAATTGTTGCCTGCTATTAGTACTAGTTCTTCTGCCAAACGTTTGAATAAGCCTTGTGAGGTGTGTCCACAAGCCAAACAAGTGCGTGATTCTTTTCCTACAAGTAGCAATAAAACAAGTAGAATTTTGGAACTTATTCATTGTGATTTATGGGGTCCCTATAAAACCCCATCTACTTGTGATGCAATCTATTTTATGACATTGGTTGATGATTTTTCTCGGGCCGTGTGGGTTTATCTGCTACGTGACAAGAAGGAAGTGTATCGATTTTTCCTTTCTTTTATTGCCACAGTTGAAAAACAGTTTGAAGTGCCTGTTAAAATTGTACGAAGTGATAATGGCACGGAATTTAAATGTTTATTGCCATACTTTGAGGAACGTGGAATTATATTTCAGACGTCTTGCATTCATACCCCTCAACAAAATGGGCGGGTGGAGCGTAAGCATCGCCATATTTTGAACGTGGCTCGGGCACTGATGTTTCAGGCGAACGTTCCTATTTTACTCTGGGGTGAGTGTGTGCTTACGGCGGTGCATCTTATTAATCGTACGCCCTCGGGATTGCTGGACGGAAGAACCCCCTACGAGGTCCTTACTGGCAAGACACCTGATTTTCACCATCTCCGGGTCTTTGGGTGTTTAGCTTTTGCTCATAATGTGAAGACGGGTGGTGATAAATTTCTTCCTCGTAGCAGGAAATGTGTTTTTATTGGATATCCGAATGGCAAGAAAGGGTGGAAAATGTTTGACCGTGACACCGGAGATATTTTTGTGTCGCGTGATGTCCAGTTTCATGAAGATGTGTTTCCATTCTCGGAGGTTACTCCGGCCTCTACTTCAGACACTGCTCCTGCTGAACCCATTATTTTTGATTCAGACGACGTCGTCCCCGTGAACTCTGAAGTTCAGGTACCTCCTGACACGGGGTCTACATCGGCCGATACTACTTCTGACGGCATCACTCTTGGCAGAGGCATGCGGTCTAAGCGACCGTCAGTTTTACTTCGCGATTATGTTGCTCATTTAAGCCCATCTCCGTCTTCGCCCTCCGACAGCTCTTCAGGTACGCGGTATCCTATTAGTCATTACGTATCTTGTGATAAGTATTCTACACGTCACCGCATGTTTCTTGGAGCTATTCTTGTAGGTCAGGAACCCCGTTCCTTCAGGGAAGCCATGACTGATGATGGATGGCGTGCTGCCATGCAAAATGAGATTCAAGCCCTCGAACATAATCACACGTGGGACATGGTGCCTCTTCCCCACAATAAAAAGGCCTTGGGTTGCAAATGGGTCTATAAAATTAAATATAAATCTGACGGTACAGTTGAACGGTTGAAGGCCCGTTTGGTTGTTTTTGGGAATCATCAGGAGGCAGGTATTGATTATAATGAAACGTTTGCTCCCGTGGCCAAAATGGTCACGGTACGCCTACTCTTAGCCGTTGCTGCTGCTCGCAACTGGGAGTTACATCAAATGGATGTACATAATGCCTTTCTTCATGGTGACCTGGCTGAAGAAGTCTATATGCGCCCTCCTCCGGGTTTCTCTTCATCTCGGCCTGGGCTAGTGTGTCGCCTGCGCAAGTCGCTATATGGCCTCCGCCAGGCTCCGCGGTGTTGGTTCGCTAAGCTGGCCACTGCGCTTAAACAGTATGGTTTCCTACAATCTTATTCTGATTATTCTTTATTCACTTTGCACAAGGATGACGTACAGATGCATGTGCTTATATACGTGGATGACATGATTATTGCGGGCAATAATTCCACCGCTTTGTCACGTTTTAAAAATTATTTGCACTCCTGTTTCCACATGAAAGATCTTGGGGTTCTTAAATACTTCCTTGGCATTGAGGTTGCGCGAAGCACTGATGGAATTTTTCTTTGCCAACGCAAATATATTCTGGATATTATTTCTGAGGCAGGTCTTCTTGGAGCCAAGCCATCCTCTTTTCCCATGGAACAAAATCATTCCTTGGGCCTTGCTACGGGAGAACTATTAGCTGATCCAGAATCCTATCGACGCCTTGTTGGTCGTCTAATTTATCTATCATTTACTCGACCGGATTTGGCTTATTCGGTACATATTTTATCCCAGTTTATGCAGGCCCCGCGACGAGAACACTGGAGTGCAGCCCTTCGCGTTGTCAGATATCTCAAAGGCTCTCCCGGACAAGGAATTCTCTTGAGCTCTTCTTCTACTTTGACTCTTACAGCCTGGTGTGATTCGGATTGGGCTAGTTGTCCACTTACTAGACGTTCTCTGACCGGATGGCTAGTTTTTCTTGGAGGATCTCCGGTCTCCTGGAAGACCAAGAAACAGCATACGGTGTCTCGATCTTCCACTGAAGCTGAATATCGTTCCATGGCGGCTGTCACAGCAGAATTGAAGTGGGTGAAGAGTCTTCTTCTTACCTTCGGCATTGCTCACCCGCAGCCTATTTCCTTACATTGTGACAATCGCTCTGCCCTTCATATTGCTCATAATCCTGTTTTTCATGAACGTACCAAGCACATTGAAGTGGATTGTCATTATGTTCGTGATGCACTGCAAGAGGGGCTGATCTCGGCACAACATGTTTCTACCACCGAACAGCTAGCGGATATCTTTACAAAGGCTCTGGGCCAACGACAATTTAGTCATTTACTACGCAAGTTGGGCATGTTTGATCCCCATGCTCCAACTTGAGGGGGGGTATTAGATTGGGCCTTGCTAATTTTTCATTTATTTGTAAATACGGGCTAAGGGCTCACTTAATTGCCTAGCTAATGTAGATATATAGAGGTACTCGGTATTGTATAGGGCAGATTTGCTTCCAATTAATAAAATATATTCTCTTCCTAAATCTAAGATTTAGAAACACACAATTTTACAAAATAAGGTATGGGACAATCTTAAGGGGACGGACCGAAAAGGTAAAATGGGACAATCATAGCGGGACGGAGGGAGTAGTAGTTTATTTTTAAAGTCAATTATTCTATCAGCAAGAAACTTTAATTCATTTGGTGTCCAAGAAACCATTGCAAACATTCCATCTACTCTAGGATGTTGATTATTCTTGTTCATTCATGTACCTATCAAATTGCAAACATCTCATCCATCATAGGTCATCACTAGGTTGCCTCAAATACTAATGACATTTGTAAGAAACTAGTCTTTTACCCGTGCGTTGCACCCGTGCGTTGCACGGGAGAGCAGACTAATCCAAAAGTTAATTGAAATCATCGGAATAAATTATACCTATAAACAGTAAAAGAAAAACAACCTTAAAATATACAATGAATTGTATGTATTGCATGTGATATTTTATTATTTTACATATACTGATATACTTGAAACTTCTTCAGGTATTTTATATGAAAGCTAAATTTGGTTCGTTTGCTGCATTACTTGAACTATCTAATGGGTTATTGAATTTATCGTTTTAGGTTTCTAAAATTAACTTCATCAGATCTTATAGAAACCCAACAATGAATATTCCTTATTTTCTAGAGCTGTAAGCTTCTCATTTTTGAAAGGAATAAAATAGTTTACTCATTTGCCAAAAAAAAATTGTTTACTCATTAGTAGTCATGGACCCGGTTCGCGCCGCCCGGCCCGCCACTGTGCGAGCCCGGAACCGGCCCGGTTCTCGGGTCCGGGTCCAGGTCCGAGTCGGGCCTAGGCCCGGTGGGGGGGGGGACGGGTCCGGGCTCGGGCCTTGTATTTGGCGAACCGGCACGGCCGGGTCGGGCCCGGCTCCGGGCCAAATTGAATTTTTTTTTCTTCCATTTTTTGGGGTACCCGGGTTGGGCTTGATGGTTAGGAGGGGTTTGGGGGGGTGGGGGGGGGGGTTAGGAAAGCAACAAAAAAAAATGACCGAACCGGAGGCCCGGCCTGGCCCGGCCCCGGACCCGGACCGGACCCGGTGGCTACCCGGGCCGGTCCCGGGCCTTCCTTCCCAGAAAAAAGCCCGGCCGGGCCCAGCCCGGAACCGGAACCGGCCTGGCCCGGGTCCATGACTACTCATTAGTCCATTACTATGACCTCCCTGTTTTTTTACCTCACCATTTTTATGCACATTGGTACTTAACGAAAATAAAAGTAATACTAGTACATTCAAGCAGCCTCTTATATCAGTAATGAGATATATACCTCCTGGATCCCTGATTCAAGCAGCCTCTTATCCCTCATTCTTAATCATATACGAAGTATTTCTCCAAGTCACTATGGATTGGAGTGGCAGGTTATGCCGTTATGAAACATTTGGTACATGTGCAATTGATGCAAACAATAACACAATTTTGTCTTTTAAAATTGCAAATCAACCATTTTCAGAACTTTGAATGAACTGGTTCATTGTAGCCAATTAAAACTTGTACAAACATTTGTTGAGTCCTGGCTCTAATATGGAGAAGAACCCAAAGAAGCACAAAATTTTGGAAAAGAAGTTTTTTTTAACTCAGTAGGCAAACCATCCATCGGTGAGGCAAATGCCAAGAAACACTTTCCAATATTTATTAAATAAGGATAAGAATACAAAAGAGAGGGGACCAGACCAAATCTCTCAAGGGGCATCTACCTTAAACCACATGAAAGAAAAGTAAATGATAAATTTAGAGGGGCTAGGCCTGACCCAATTTTGGAAAATGGACAACAAAACCAAAATAACAAACTAAAATCTAAAATATGTAAACCCAAAATAATCAGCAAAAAAGCTACATTTCACACTAATGGACAATTGATCCACATGATCATAATACTTGAATTGATCCATACAGCATTCTGGGCCCGCAAGGAAATGGGCCATGAAATTACCTTCCCTGTAAGTATGATTGAAGGAAGCCCATGTTTCTCAGCCTTATCCTTGAATGTCTTAGAAGAAGGTAAGAGACTCGAAAATTTTCAAACAATAAATTTGGTGAAATCTGTCCTGTACAGCAAAATCAACTTTAGCCCTTTAGGAAACATGAATATTAGTGTAAGATTTACCGGTACGTAGTTGAATTGAATGAAACAGAATCGGAAATTCATGCTTAATTGGTCATATCTTCAAGTAGAAAAATGGGTAGGTGTCAAACTGAAATCGACCGATTCAGTCTTATTTTAGAAGAATAGAAGAACTAAATCAGACTAAGGCAATGTCTTCATTACAGAACTGTTCACTTATTTGATCTTAATTCATATAATTGACTGGTCTTGATTCTAGATATACATTTTTTGGTGCATTTCTGTTTGGCATGCATCAAATAGTATGAAGCTACCACCTTCAGTAAAAAGAGTTACATGATGATCTTCAGACCAACAGTTACATTAGTTTTAAAAAATTACAAAACAAAAATTTAAAAACTTAAAGCATTGGACATAAAAAAACTTACTTAATGAAGGAACACGATGTTTCTTCTGTGATTTGAAAGTGACACACACTTCTCTTTGACAAAAGGCCTCATTCCTACATCCATGTACATGTAGACTTTATTTAAGTAGAAGATCATACAAACTTCAACTAAAATTTGCAAAACTAAAAATGCTTGAAGAAGTCCACAGTGCCATCCATCTCGCGAAGAAAGTTTAATGAAGGAAAAGTATTTGAAGTCTTTACGGGAAGGACATACAGACAGACAAATAATATATCAGACAGACAAAAATAAAGGAAATACATACATTCAGAAAAGCATAGAAAGGGGAAACATGTTCTATTGTTGGAAACACAATAAAACTTACTTCCATATGATTCTCAATTTCTACTAAGATTCATGAACCTCATGAGAAGGTACAGAGGCATTCATATCACATGCGACTACATTTGCCACCTACATTTAATGGTAAAGGACATACAGACAGACAACAATTATATGAGACAAACAAAACGTAAAGGAAAGACAGACATTCACAATGCATGGAAAGAAGAGCAGTGTCAAGTGCGAAACACAATAACATTTACTTTCTCATGGTCCTCCTCAACAACTGCAACTTCATCCTGCTTGTGCTCTTCATCTTCATCAGCTTGATGCATGGCATCTTCATCTTCATCATGCTTCTCCTCGGCCACACTCCCAACAAGCAACCTATCTTCCATTAGTTTCAGCCGCGCCTCCAGAGACACCACTTGCGCCCGTAGCTTTTTCATTTCAGCCATCATCTTGGATTTGAAGCCATCATCATCTTCACCATCGTCTTCCTCATCTTCCTCCTGCACGTACAAGCTATAGTCATTTACACTCTTTGAAGCAAAATTTCATATTTTAAAAACACACAAATACATTACATCGTAATGATCCTTGAAAATCATTTCATTTAGCGTTTGCACATGAAAGAACCCCATAGCCTTCCAATTGAGCAAGGGGACGTCATGATTGCCAACACGTTTAGCACATCTCCGTCCTAGCTCTGGCAGACTCTCGTAGGCCCAAACCTGAAAAACAAAAAAAGAAAATTAAACAAAAACAATGTGGCAGAATAAGTTGTCTGTCTACAGTTAAGAAATGTCTGTAATAAAGGATGAAGTGTCTGTGGAAGAAAAAAACTGTTTGTGTTTCATGCAAACATGACAATACAAACACACAATCAAATATAAGGTGAACATTACCTGTAGGACGAGAGGAAGGCCATGCAATGTGAACTTTGCATTTTTGTATTGAGGATTGGCTTTCTTATTCTCCTTGAACCTATCGCCCTGCCCAACCATAAGAGTCTTTATCTGAGATACCATTAGATTGTAGGACACTTTTGCCCAAGGGTATGCTTTAAATCTGTCCAACTCATCCGCCAATTTCAGAATTTCAGAATTCATCAATGTTATCTTGTTCCTCGGTATCAAAACACATTGCACGTAGAAAGCACATGCAAGCTTGAGAGGATCACCGCGAGGTCCTGCCTTTTTCGGCTTTAGTGTCTGCATCTTTGCTGTCAAGGTCCCACAGCTGATCTCCCTCACACCACCGAAGAATTTATCTAGTAACATCCCATTGCCTTCATCCACATCGGAGATGACCGGAGTTAGACCCATAGAACGGAGCCCAGTTATGCGTTCAAAGTCATTGTAGGTAAACTTTAACAGCTTGTCATTGACGCAAAACCATAGTTCATCATTACGCTGGTCACACACTAGTCTCAACAAGAGGTTATGGACAATTTGCGCTGAGAACTGTAGCTCTGGCACATCAAGGAGATGGCCCCACAGCATCTTCCGAAACTCAGCAAGCTGTGCAGAAGTCAAACCCGATTTCACCAACTTTGCAACATCTTTATATTCAGAACACTGTGATATTTGAGCGGGGAAGTGGTCACAGACAGGAATTTGCAATTCCAGAGCCCTATGACATTTCCAAAAATGCACACAAAAAGAGACAAACAACTCAATAAGAATGACAGACATCTATGTATCACAGCACAAACATTTAAAAATTCTTCACAGACAGCTCACAACACAAGACAGACAAGGATATATGAACAACAAACAAATGAAAACATGACAGACAATTCTAAAGTTGTTACAGACAACTCAAAACAAATGACAGACAACTGAAAACACGAGACAAACAATTCTAAGCACTTGACAGACAACTGTAAAAAAAGACAGACACAGGAATATGAATGACAGACATCTATTTAAAACATCACACTCATGTATGAACTCCTTACAGACAATTCAAAACATGTCACAGACATCTAACAACACACTAACAACATCTCAGACAACTCTTAAATCACATAAAGAAAATTAGGTCTACTTTAATTAAATTAAATCAATTATGGTAAGGTGAGTACTGCACAAGGATGAAAATATTACCTTTTAGCAAGATCGGTCAAACTTGTTCGCACCATGGTTTCAAAGTTATCTTCTTTTTCATTGAACTTGGACTGGCGACTCGTAGAGTTGGAGCACATCAGCGCGTCTACGAACTTGGACCAGCGCCTCGACGAACTGACTTCAGTTGGATGGGTTCGGTTGTCCGTCTACGAACTTCGACCGGTGATGATTTTTACAGCAGCCTTCGTTTCTACAGAGCAGAGCAGAGCCGAGAAAGGGGAAGATGGCGGTCAGAATCGTGGAGTGGGTCCGCTGGATGGCTTCGGTTGTCCAGCGTCGCTAGGTGGGTTCGGTTGTCCCGCGAAGATGGCGGTCCGAGTGGAGGGGGTGCGGGAATTGGGATGGATGGAAGGCAAAATAAAATAGGGTAAAATTTTGAATTGGGAAGGAAAAGATGTGAGGTAAAAAAAATAGGGGAGTATTAAATGGGGTGCCAAGGGTGTACACAAATGGTGTACCCCTAGCATTTTTGGTTATTTGAAGTTACGAAAGTACCCTTAGACATGAGCGGGAAACTCACTTAGTCACTTAGTTCACTTAATAGTTCACTCCGTCCCATAAAATTCTTCCACTTTCCTTTTTAGGTCGTCCCAAAAAAATCTTCTCACTTTTCTTTTTTATACAATTTGTGTAGTTTACATTCATCTCACCTTTTTCTTACACAACCACACATTTCCACTTTATTTCAAATTCTTAATATCCGTGCCAAGTCAAAGTGGGAAGAATTTTATGTGACGGAGGGAGTATATATATATAAATGAACTTTCCCACTTATAGGATTAGCTGCCTAGCACTAGAAGCTACAAATAGAGAACTAATAGGACCATGTTAATATCGTATTTTGATGGTTTTCCTAGATTTAAGATGTCACAAGTCTCAATTTTAGTTCAAGTTATGTTTACCAGGCGTTGGTTCGAGTTTTGTGTCATTTGGAGTCAAAGTCAGGAATTTAGAGTTCGGCACCGGCACTTGAGGAGCAATCGGGATGATTTGAGATGCATTCGAGAGTGGATTGAGAGATTTGGAGGTCACCGGAAGGTTCACGATGAAGATTTGATGACAAAAGAGCTTTAGGATTGGCTACGGGATCAAAAGAAGACGAATAGAGCTTGAAAACGACGATCAGGGTGACCTTTTGTCAATCATTCAAGCATATCTCTTTGTAGACAAATCCAAAGGACACGATTCAAGTTTCAAATGAAAGACAACTTCAAGGGTTACAAATCATATGAAGACACCATTCCGAGAATCTGAGAGGAGAAAGGTGAAAACAGATGATGAAGTCGGATGATTGCTGTTGAGATTTCAGAATGAGACCTTCCACCATTTTGATCATATCTCTTTATTGAATGATTTAAATCCAATTCCGCAAGTTGTGGTGGATAGAGGACTTCATTATCTACAACTTTCATGAATGAAGTTTTGTCAAATTCGGAAGTTTGACGCACTCCGTGAGTAGGTGAACGCACGACTGTGCGTCTGAGGCGAGAAAGCAAGGAACCTACTACCAGCCACGCACGGCCGTGCGTAGGAGGACGCACGCCGTGCATGGCCGTTTTTGCGCGATTTGTCTGTCGGACGCACTGGGGCTCCGTGCGTGCCCCCCAGCAGTCCCGAAACGCCCGGATTCCCCTGTTTTCTATAAATAAGACCCCCATACCCATATTTTGACGTTACGAACATTACGGAGAGGCCTAGGGACAAATTTACTTGTGTTTTTATCATTGTTTACTCCAAGACCCTAGGATTATTTGTAAGTTCATCTTTTTAATTAATGACAATTATTTCTATTCATCTCAATTCTATTGATTCTTCAATTATGAATTGTGAGTAGTTTAATTAGGGATTTGGGGTTGATGAAAGGGTTAATCATGATATATGGCTAGATTCTTGTTAGTTTAATTGCATGAATTCCGTTTAATTTAGGTTTGAATAACTTAATTGATATCTCTTGTAACCTAGATGACCACTAGAATTACAATTGCATGTAGAATGAATTAGGAGAGATCTAACTTATTCTAAGACACATTCACACACACTTAATCGGTCGCGAAGAGATTAGTAACGATTAAGGGGCCGTAAGCTCGCTCGTCTTGGCAATAATTTAGGATCATGTCGCATGAGAGACTAGCCTGGTCTCCTAGATTATTGTACTCTACGCCGCGAAAGCGTTAAAAACTTAGTAATGATTAGTTAGACTCAATTAAATTAATTTCATGTAATTAAGCCCGATTTGCCAGAAATCTGGTTACCCCGGAATCAATCCATGTTCCCTTCGTCGTTAATTAGAGAGAAACCAATCTTTCTAGTTTAATCGTTCATTCGCATTAGTTTATTTTCCATCAACCAATCTCGCACGACGCTTTTATTTTATTTATTTTTAATCGCTGAATTTAGTTAATTCTTATTTCCCTTTTGTCTGTGTCCCCGTAGAGATGATACTCGTACTTTTCACCACTATTCTACAATCTTTTTAAGTGCGAGAAAACTCACATCAGACCATAATCAATCTATCTTTGGGCTGGGTGCTAATCATGATTCGTGAAGTTCACATTCATCTTATTAATAAACCCATTTGAACTTTCCAAATTCGTTAATAATGATATTATAAGTAACCTGATCATAGTACGAATAAGTCATTTATATTAACCAAAACACAGTACTCAATAAAGCAATTTTTTGTAGATGTTTTTTCAACAACATTAATGAATTCAAATTTATCTAATAAATATAATATTTAAATTCACTGTTATAGTAAATTAAGTACGTAGTATAAAAAATTAAAAATTGAACTTAAGTTAAGTAAAGATACTTATATATTCACTGCATAGAGATTATTATATTTTCATAAACCAGTTTATTTTAATCATAATATAAAATTATTTCATTTTTATACAATTGATTTATAATTAAATGATTAGGGTTTGTACTTCAGTTTTAAAACTGTCAATTGATGATAATGGTAAAGAGTAAAGACTACATCAAGCATCAAACTTAGTAAATGAAAACGATAAAACCAACCAGAGCCATTACCTTGTCGTATACTTCTATTATACAAAGAAATTGCGGTACTAGAACAATCTTGCGCAATCCATACGGTTTCTACTTAAAGTCTGTGTTTCCGGATATGTTTCTTGCCGTATGTACCATCAGAAGAAAATGGAAGGGGGTAATAAATTATCGATAGTTCTCATAAGGTAGGCACCACATATTTACTCCATATTATACTTATTATCCATAAAGAGTCTTCACCAATATTCTGACTTCAACAACCACCTAAATTGAATTCTACCTAATACTCTGAGTCTCTGACTTACGAGTGTGAATGTATGATTTCAGAATTATAATTGAATTAATTTGATCAGATGTAAGAGGTTTTTTCTTAAATATAATTAAAATATTATGAAATGTAAGTAAAATTATTATGGATAAGTTATCATGATCATTTCATTTTTTTCTATCGTCAAAATGATTGACTTAAATTACTATGACAACATTCAGATAGGGGGTAAAATAACAAGGGTCACAGACAACCGTCAGCTCTCGAACCAGACTTGGAGTCAATCACCTATAAAAAACAATATAACTCACTGATCCTATAATGGGCTTAAATGATCCAACGACGGTTAAAACAAACCTCTCGTCACCCAATCCTAATGCAAAAGTCTTACAACAATAAAAGTAACCAACATAAAAGTAAACAGTCTGATCATGAAAAATAAATAGCAAGCAAAAAAAGTTAAAATATTGCTTCCAAATCCTAAACTCTCCTGCACTCCATGGCGGCGGTTCAGGAGGGGGACGGTCCAACAGTACTGTAGCATCTTCCGTTCCTTGTCTCCACTCCAGATCTGTTCCGGACTCTGCCCCACGCTTTGTCTGTGACCTTCTGATCTCAACCAAGAACGACATCCATGAAACTCTCCACCTGCTGATAGGGGGGGTACACAACCTTTGGCTGTCATTTTACCGCCTAGAGAGAGTAAAATGATATCATTGTAAATCTACTTTAACAACGGTTAATAAAGTTGCTTAAATATGTATATAAAATTACCTAAAATGATCACATATAATAACTTTAGCCAATTCATGCAGATAAATAATATCAACCTTACTTATTTTAATCAGTATATAATGCAACACGGGCAAGAAATCAAAAATCATGTGTGGTGAAAAATGACTTATAAGGTTAAAAATTCTGATAAACTGATAACAGTATCAACTAGCAGGATAAAAGACTAAACAATTAATAAAAGGTGAGAACTACGGTACTTAACTAAAAGATGGGATACCATATCTGTCACTCATTTGATTGGTTCAAGATATTATCTCCCATTTAATTTTCATTTAAATAATTCTACTACAACGCAAATTATACTATGGTACTGGTATACCATGTGCATGGTATACCGTACCCAATACAACATCATTTTTTTCTCCATCTAAGAGTATTACAAAGGTATTATAATACCCAATACGGTATTTTTTTTCTCCCTCGAGACCTCCACTACTCCGGACATGTTATTTCTTTCTCTCTATTTTTCTTTTTTTAGTTTCTTTAATTCTTTTCTCCTCTCCAATAAAACATTAAAAATTTAATTGCAATTTTACTTATCTTTCTTATTAACTAATTTAATTATAATTGATCAATTAACTTTTCTTCATTACAAATTTATTCAAAATTTTTACTAATCCACATAAAATAAGTATATTAGGGGCAGTCATAGAGGGAAGATTCAATATTTGAAAGGAGAACAATTAACTAAGGAAGTCAGAAAAACAAATAACAACACCATGGGGCAGTTATTTGTAATGCAGATCCATCAGACTCAAGGGACTAAAAAGGAGATGTGATATCTAAAGAGATTCAGTTAATCCTGAAGGAGTATAAAGAGGTGTTTGAGGAACCAACACTGCCTCCACCCCACATGGAGCATGATCATTAGATCCACTTGAAGCCTGGAACTGCTCCCATTAATGTCAGGCCATATAGATATCCCATAATTTAGAAGAATGCCATTGAAGACATCACTATGGAGATGCTAAATCAAGGTATCATAAGACATAGCCAGAGCCCTTATTCAGCTCCTGTAGTAATTATAAAGAAAAAAGATGATAGCTAGAGATTCTGTGTGGATTATAGGGAGCTTAACAAACAAACCATCAAAGGTAAATTTCCTATACCTGTAATTGATGAACTGTTAGATGAATTACATGGGTCTCAAATCTTTTCTAAAATAGATTTGAGTAGTGGCTACCGGAAAATAAGGATGAAGGAAGAAGATATTGAAAAAACAACATTTAGAACACATGTGGGGCATTTTGAGTTTGTAGTTATGTCATTTGGTTTGACCAATGCACCATATACATTTCAAAGTCTCATGAATCACATATTCCAACCATATTTAAGTTTCTTTGATGATATACAAATGGATGAGAAAAATACCTGTAGAATAAAAGGACATCCATATAGAGTAAACTTAGCAGTTGTGGCATTGCTTTTCCTGAATTTGGTGGACATCCATATAAGATACATCTTAAACTTCTCGAACTCGCCCGCCCACTTCAAATAGTCCAAATTTATCTTGGTTTTGTTATCCCGAGCAAGTAAAACCGTCAAAATGTAACAAACGGACACTAGCTTCACAGGATCTCCTCTTTTTGTACGCCTATATGACTTCAACTTGTCCTTTAACATTTTGTACGTAATGTTCTTGGATCCACGAAAGTACTTGTCAATTAGCGTCCCATGCACTTCTTCATCATCATTGAAGACAAGGTTTTCTGTTGATGATTTGAGACCGGATATGTGACAGAATTCAGCATACGCAAACTTCAACAGCCTCCCTTGAATCAAGAACCACAACTCGTCTTCAGGTTGGTCCTTGACTAGCCTCAGCAATAGAGAATGGATGATTTGGCCTGAAAATTGCATGTCTGGCACGGATAGTAGGTGGCCCCATGGCAAATTTTTAAATTCTTCCAATTGATCCTTTGTCAGCGCAGCTTTGACCAAGCTTACAGCCTCTCTGAAATATGAGCACACAGATAACTGGGCTGGAAAGTGCTTGCGAACTGGAATTTGTACTTTGAATGACTTGTATAATTAACACAAATACAAATCAAACATTTCAGACAACTATGTTCACCTAACAGACAACTACACAACAATTTTCTAGACAACTATGTTCACCTAACAGAGAACTACACAATAATTTTAATGTTTTGCCAGACAACTGTGTTCACATGATAAACAATTACAAATGGCTTGCCAGACAATTCATTTCAAATGACAGACATCTCATACGCCTGGCCAGACCACTATAATGACATCACAGACAACTTTCAAGAATTCAAAATGAAGTACACACAATGACAAACAACACCAAAATTACACACCAAGATAATATCAATCCAAAAAAATTGAAAAAATTACATACCTTTAAGCCATATGTGCTAAGCTTGAATGATGGACCTTAAAACCTTCACGAGGGCGGTTCGTTCCACGGTGGTGAACAGTGCACGAGGGTGGTTCCTTCCTTGGGTTTCCGAACTCGTTCGATTTGAGGAGAGATGACGGACGCTTCGAGATGAATAGTTCCGGTTGGTTGTGAGGGTGAGGACGCCGGTTGTGGGGGACGAGTTGGGAGGGGTTAAGGTCGGTGAGGGTGGGGCAAAATTCGACGGTGGGGAGGGGGAGTGGGAAGTTTTTCGAAACTGCCTGGGGAAGGGAAAAGGTGGGGGCGGGATATTTGGTGAGGGGGGGGGGGACACACGTGAGGGAGAGGGAATGGAATGGAGAGGGGGGTAAATTTTTGGAATGGTTTTTATATGGGGTACAATTTGGGATATACTTGGGGTACCCATAGCAATTTTCCTTATTTTCGATCTGATCCTTTTCATTAGCAATAGTCTCAAAACAGTTATCATCTATCACTGTTGCTTTTTAGCTTTAAAGTAGTGCCCATACAAATTGCCAAACTTAGCTATTTCAAAAACGAAAAGGCAAAGGTAGGACCACCTGGAGCATTAAGGCAGTCTCAGGAGTGATTTTTGCTATGTTTATCCATAACGTGTTAAGAGAGTCTCCTTTGGGGCAACCCCTCTAAAAAAACTCAAGTCTACCAATTTTATCAATACAAGTCAATAGATTTATGAAAGTTTCGTATAATCTATAAAAATCCATATAAAAGTCTACCACAAAGTCCTTCATATTAAAAGTCTGTGGACTTTATTTAAAGATCTAACCTTATTTTGAATTTTTTTCCAAAACATATCTTATATTCTAGAATCTAGATGTTATGTTATGATAAGGAAAATGGAAAGATCTGCAAAGGATATAAATATCAATCTTAATTGTGGAGTTCGTACAAATATCATCTAGATATATATCATTTCATTTGAAGAAAAGAAAAGAGCAAGAGGCAGACGCGAGAAATCACTCGCGACCTCCATCGGCGTTTCTCCGCCATAGGCGGTGTTTTTGGTTCCTATCCTGGTCTAGGTTTTTTGGACGGGCGGCACCGACGTTTCATCGTCGCTTGGGAGTCCCGATTTTGCTAGTGTTACTTCTGGTGGGAAGATCGATTCGAGGAAGGCCTGGGTCTTGGAGGTGGTGTCGCAGATCAAGAGCATTTTACAGGGTTGAGGCGCGGTCCCAATTCCCTTCTAGATCGGTGATTTCAGGCTTGTGTGATCTCAAGCCTGTGGCAGACTGTTCGCATCACAGAGGTTTTTGGGCGAATCTCAATTGCAGCACAGGGGAGATGATAGGGATCTGGAGACTACTCGCGTTTGGACTGGCTGTGCTTGTGCGGTATTTTGGCCAAGAGATGGAGGCGACTCATTGGCAGATCATTGGTTTCAGCTGCTCAATAAATTTATCCTGCTTAAATTCATTTTCCCCACTTTTAGTCTGTTTACTAAGAAATTTGGTGTTATCATTTTGTTTTTGGCTGTTGCTTTTGGTAATAGGTTTTTTAGGATGACTAAGGGTTCGGCTAGACTTGATATTGTTAGTGGGGGACGGATCTATTTGTTCAGCTATAGCTGCATTAAGCCTGTCTGGTGGTTAGCGTTTCGTCTTGCTCCTTTAGGGGTGATCGTCTCTATGTCTAATCGTAGGGCTAAAAGTAGTGGTTGTGAGGTGAAGGTTGGTGTCAGTTCTAGTCATGTTGAGTTTAATGTAACGATCCTGATTCTAATGATATCAATATAGTCGTTTTCCTTTAAAAAAAAAGAAGTAGAGATAGATTAAGATGAATTGATGTTAGTTTAGAATGTTGTTAACTGGTCTGAAATTTTTTATCCAGTATGACCCGTTATTCTATTTAACTAGTACTGTTACCCGTGCGATATGATGCACGGGACATTATGATGTTTATATTTTATATTTATTTTTCATTTAAATATGATATTGAAATTGCGCAATTTTAAATAAGAGTGGTATACATCATACATGTACAATAATAATAATAATAATAAGATAAACTTATATAATGATGATGATATATTTTTGCAATAAAAATACTCGTATATAAAATGATTTACTCGTTAATAATTTAAAAACCTATGTAAGGTAAAGAATGTTCAGTAGTCTGTCGAAAAATTAAAGAACACTTTGATACCTAAAAGGTTAAAACCACCCCGGAGCTCATATTATATCATTATATGTTGGGAAAACTGTCAAATAGGTCCTCGAACTTTCATATAAAAGTCAATTAAGTCCTTTTATAGGACACTCTGTCTGGTCGTCGCGATATGGGGCGGTTCCCGGTGGAATTTTTTGATGAAATTTTTTGAGCATCTTATTCATCAAGTCTAGTTTACTCATACCAAATTTCAGCTAAAATTCAATCGGGAGCGCATTCAAATCAATTCGAGAACTCAAAAATGCACAGTTATCTTCAAGAATTAATTTGAATGTGTTCCCGATTGAATTTTTAGCTGAAATTTGGTATGCGTAAACTAGACTTGCTGAATAAGATGCTCAAAACATTTCATCAAAAAATTCCACCGGGAACTGCCCCAAATCGCGACGGCCGGACAGAACCTCCTATAGAAGGACTTAATTGACCTTTTTATGAAAGTTCGAGGACCTATTTGACTGTTTTCCCTTATATATTTGTTCTACAAAGATTTGAGGTTGTAATATATACAATAAAAAATAAAATTCACATTCCAATAGGTTTGTAGATAGACGTCAATTGTGAAAGTGATTAGCTTGTCATCAAAGTTGTTACCAATATTTGAATATCTCACATTTGGTAACTTGTGCGCTATAATATATAGTGGATTGTGACAGAAAAAGAGTACCCTTGGGTAATGCTGGAATCTAAATACTCCCTCCGTCTCATAAAATTGTTCTCGCATTGACTTGGATCGGAATTTAAGAAAGTGGGAATAAAATAGAAATGTATGATTGTGGTTGCATGTGTAAGAAAAAGGTAAATGAATGTGAGTCATACAAAACTTTCCAAAAGAGGAAATGTGAACTATTTTTTCGGACGGCCCAAAAAGGAAATCGGGAACTATTTTGCGGGACGGAGGGAGTAACAGTTTGACGTGTAAAGTGACCATAACTAAGAAGTAATTATGATCAAAGTGACATTTTTTATAAAAATACAATTATCTATAGTTACTTCATGCATTTATTTCCTATGAATTCTTCAATTAATTGAAGATAACTACAATGTTTAATTACTGAACATTATTATTGTTATACATATTGGGCATGAGATCACATGGTTTGAAACTGCGGGTGAAAGTTTAAAAATTAAAACCGCTATTGTGATTCATGCACATAATTGTCTTCCACTTTGATTACATAAACTTCTGGATAATAACATAACTTATTTTTACTTCAATTTATCAGACACAAGCAAATAAAAGTTGATGGCTAAAATGTTTTCTGCAACTAAAACACAAAAAACTGAAAGATGCCACGAATAATTTGAAGTTAAACAAAATAGAGATGCGTATTTGCTAACTCCTTTAATCACTTTATTTGTCAGACGAATGATATCATCTGCATCGATATAGAGGCCGATCGCCCCTCTCCTGAACCACCGCCGATCCAGGAAGATGACATTGGATGGATTGCTTTCTTTCCGGTGGCTGGTCAAACCGGAACAATTTCTTCACTTGACTCCTTACCGGTGGATGGAAAAACCGGCAAGTTCAATAATTCCTTTTCAGTGGCTAGTCAAGCCGAACCCATTTCGAGTAGCATGAACAGACACACTGTGGTACGTGTCTACATTGTTGCAGGGGTAGCGAACATGAGTGCTTTTATATGACATTTTTGTTCTTTGTCTCACCCTAGCGTAGTATAGAACACTATTATTGTAATGTTTCAGCTTTTAGCTGTTAGGTTTCATGTTAAGATTTGATTATCAATAAAATGATTATTTGATTTTAAAAAAAAAATCATCTGCTGGTTGGACTTCTAATGTCTCATGTGATGTCCACGTGGTTGTCCGATAAAAGTAGCCCATCAATAATGTTTGACCCAAATCTAAAAGTAGCCCATCACTAATCGCTTAGGCAGGAACTGTTTATGACTTACGATTCCGTTTTTATATAGATATATATATACAGATAATTCTATTTCATTATCGACTTAACCGGTCTTATAGACTATTGAGATTCATAATATCTTTTTAATTATTTTGTATCCTTCGTGACACATGTAAGTCTTATCACCTATGAATGCATCCACATGCAATGACTCATACAATGTCACATGTAAATGTTAGTGCTTCATTTATTACGTAGGACTAGGAGTGCATGCACATGCACTTGCATTCCAATTATTATTCCCTCTCCCTTAGCAAGATAGACTTCCTTTTGTCATATATATACTGCATGCGTATGATTAGTTGGATATAACATAAGACTTCTATATTTTGAAGCATTCTTCTCGAAACAGTTTATCCCAGTTAGTCATACATTTTATCCCAATTATATACTTTCTCAGTTATATTTTTATCATGGTATCAGAGCCGAAATCCTGAAAAAAAAAACAAAAAAAAAACCTCTTCTCACAAGATCTCTTTCCACAAAAAAATTCTTCTTCATTTCTTTTCTTAGCTATGGCGGGTGAAACCAAGGCCATCAATATTGAAACTAATGACATAGTCGTTGATTCTATGTCACCTTATTTTATTCAATCTGGAGATAAGCCCGGAGATGTCCACGTTACCACGACTCTTCGAGATGGAAACTATGGAGATTGGCTCGATGAAATGAGCAATGCTCTATATGCAAAAAATAAATTCGGCTTCGTAAATGGTGACATACCGATGCCTAAATCCGATTCACCATACCTCCCATGTTGGCAACGGGCAAATGCCATGGTTAAAGGTTGGCTATATAGTAGCATGGAAATGGATCTCAGGCAAAGTGTGAAGTTCAAAACGGGTCGGGAAATCTGGACCGATTTACAAGAAAGGTATGCAAAGGAAAGTGCTCCACGAGCCTATGAGCTTCGATGTTCTCTTAGCAACATTCGGCAAGATGGACAATCTATTTCTGCTTATTTTAGCAGGCTACGCCGTGTGTGGGATGAGATGGTCTCTATAGACACGGCGCCTGATTGCAAGTGTGGCAAATGTTCTTGCAATATCTCTAAACAGTTAATTGATTCCCGTGATAGAGATCGCCTTTATGATTTCTTGATGGGTTTGGACGATGCTTATGCACAATTGAAGTCCCAAATTTTGGCCACAAGGCCGGTTCCTACCCTCACTGCCGCATATCACCTTGTTTTAGAAAGTGAACAACACAGGTCTATCACATCCGCGCGCAAACCAGGTGGTGATGGTACAGCTTTCTACACCCAAATTAAATCACTTCCAGGACGCCGGCCGGCTGCAAAAGAAGGTAGGTCTTGCTCCTATTGTGGAAGGACCAATCATACTTACGATACATGCTTTGCACGAATTGGTTATCCAACCAATTGGAATATTAAAAGCAAAGAAAATAGGCTGCCAGGAAACTTGACTCAAGCTAGGCTTGGTGACTCACGTATCTCACGTGAAGGAGGAAGTCGTGAGGTGGCCACTTTTAACCACAAGCACTCCTCTCCTCAAGTAGCACATGTGGACAGTAAGCAAAACACTCAATTAGGAATCTCTGATGAACAACTCCAAAAACTTGCCAGACTTGTAAGGCATGAGCTACAGGACGAAACCAATACATCCTCCGCTAATGTCAAAATAAATATGGCAGGTATACTTTCAAAAGGACGCACTTGGATAATAGACTCTGGAGCAAGTGAACACATTATTTGTAATAATGATGATCTCATTGACATCCGGACTCATATTAATATCCCCTCTGTCAAAATTCCGAACGGTGATTCAGTTTTAGTTCAAGCTATTGGCAGCCTGTACTTATTTAATGGACTTCGCCTACCACAAGTTTTATACATCCCGGAGTTCCGGTGTAACTTACTTTCAGTTAGCCGTCTTACAAGGGATACAAATTGTACACTCACATTTTTTAATGATTTGTGCACATTGCAGGATTTACCCTCGAGGAAGCTGATTGGGGTGGGCCGACTCCGTGATGGTTTATATTACCTTGAAATTTCAGGAGATGAGGGGGGTGGCAATGTCAGTTTCTCTTCATCCTAATTTATGGCATCAGCGTTTAGGACATGCTTCAGACGGAAAATTAAGTTTCATCAGTTCTCTCCAAGGTTTCAAGCGGAGCAATAATTTCTGTGACTCATGCATACGAGCCAAACAGACCCGTCTACCTTTTCCTGTCAGTACCATTAAGACAACTCGTTCTTTTGAATTAATACATTGTGATATTTGGGGTGGTTATACATGTAATTCCATTTCCGGTGCACGTTACTTTCTGACTATAGTCGATGATTTTACACAGGGTGTTTGGGTTTACTTAATGAAAAATAAATCAGAAGTTCCACAACTTTTGATTCAGTTTTTTAATTTGGTAAAGACCCAATTTGAGCAACAAGTTAAACGAATACGGGCAGATAACGGCGCCGAGTTCCAAACTAGTCTTTTATCTGATTACTATAATCAAAATGGAATTTTGTTGGAGACATCTTGTACCGACACACCTCAACAAAATGGTGTTGTCGAGCGCAAACACCGACACATTTTAGAAGTGGCAAGGGCACTCCGCTTTAAGGCTGGATTACCAATTAATTTTTGGGGAGAATGTATTTTAACAGCAGTCTATATCATTAATAGACTACCATCCCCCATTATTTCAAATAAAACTCCTTATGAATTGTTATTTGGGAAAATACCAATTTATGATCACTTACGGGTTTTCGGTTGTTTGGTATATGCCCATAACAATAAAAAGAAGGACAAGTTTGGTGAAAGGGGGAGTCCTTGCATATTTATTGGATATCCCAATGGTCAAAAGGCATATCGGGTTTTTGATCTTCAGAAACATACCACCTACAGCTCTAGAGATGTAACATTTTTTGAAGCAAAATTTCCGTTCAAAATTTCAACGAGTCCAGAAGCTGACTTCGAAACATTAGTTGATAAGATTTATCAACAAATTACAAAGGAGGTTCCTGAAAATATCTTGGCTGACCCACCACTTAACTCCTCTCGTCCTTATCCAATGCATGCATATAACCCATCTATGCATATGAACAAACAGTGTACAGGAGACCCCAATTCAATTGAGCAGGCCCCACACCATATTAATGAGCCAAATGGGAACTTCTCACCAGGACAACAATTTCCCATAAATAGGCCGCATGCCACCATTCATCAGCCACTCGTCTTGGACCCACCATTGGCAAACGCTGATCAACTTGGACCGCAGGTATCTAGCACCGACAACAACAATGGCATCTCTCCAGCAGCAGGTACTGACAGTGTTATACACGTCCCGCATGCAACAGCTCCATGTGTTTCTCTGGAAGATGGGCAGGCTACTCCTATCTCCATTCAACGTCCACCAAATTTGGTTGAGTCTCAATAACCACCAAGTGAGCCCCACCGACGTGATCGAGTTCGGAAATGTCCTAAACACCTTGCTGATTATGAAACGAATTTGCCACCCTCTCTTGCTCCATCACGGACCACTGCCAATCACGCTGCCACGAAGGTATATCCCATATCACATTTCATTAATTACAAAAATTTCTCTAACACTCATAGAGCTTACCTTGCTGCCATCACTTCTCGTGATGAGCCTAAAAATTTCTCACAAGCAGTGCGAGATCCTATGTGGCGAGAGGCAATGCAAAAGGAGATTGACGCATTAGAAAAAAATGACACATGGACACTTGTCCCATTACCACCGGGAAAGAAGCTGGTTGACTCAAAATGGGTTTATAAAATTAAATATAAACCTAATGGTGATGTGGAGAGATACAAGGCTAGACTAGTAGCTAAGGGTTTTACTCAAGTTGAAGGTGTTGACTTTCACGACACTTTTGCCCCTGTGGCCAAACTTGTTACAGTCCGGTGTGTGTTAGCGGTTGCCGCTAAGAAAAATTGGTTCGTACATCAACTCGATGTAAATAATGCTTTTCTTCACGGAGATCTTTCTGAAGATGTCTACATGCGTTTGCCGGCAGGATTTAGCAAGGAAGGTGACACTCGTGTTTGCAAATTACGAAAATCCTTGTATGGTCTTCGACAGGCATCTCGTAATTGGTATCAAAAATTCACTCAAGCCCTTGTTGGAGTTGGATTTCATCAATCCAAAGCAGATCATTCCCTCTTTATTTTTCAGAAGGGTCCCGTAACCACTTTTGCCCTCATATATGTCGATGATGTTATTTTGGCCGGAAACCATCTCCCTCATATTCAAACAATAAAAAATTATTTGGATAAAAAATTCAGCATCAAGGATTTGGGGAAACTGAAATACTTCCTTGGCATTGAAGTTGCTCGTTCTCCTGAAGGATTTGTTCTAAGCCAACGCAAATACACTTTAGACATCTTAGAAGAAAGTGGCCTACTTGCTAGTCGCCCTAGCTCTTTTCCAATGGAACAAAACTTAAAACTACGACCGGATGACGGTACTCCATTTGTCGATGCACCATCCTATCGACGATTAATTGGGCGACTATTGTATCTCACGGTGACCCGCCCGGACATCGTATACTCTGTCAGTCAGCTTAGCCAGTTTCTCAGTGCTCCACGCCAGAGTCACCTTGACGCAGCTATTCGTGTTTTGCGTTACTTAAAAGGCACTCCTGGTCAGGGCATTTTTTTATCATCCAATGACGACATCACTCTCACAGGCTATTGTGATGCCGATTGGGCAGGTTGCTCGTTCACTCGCCGCTCTAGTACTGGTTATTTCATCACCCTTGGCTCCTCTCCCATCTCATGGCGCACAAAGAAACAGTCAGTCGTCTCTCGCTCCTCCGCCGAAGCAGAATACCGAGCAATGGCTGTTACAGTTAGCGAAATTTTATGGTTACGATGGTTACTACGAGATCTTACGATTTATCAAATGGGTCCCACGTCACTCTACTGTGATAATCAAGCAGCTCGACACATTGCACTTAATCCCGTTTTCCATGAACGCACCAAACATATTGAAATGGACTGTTATTTCGTCCGCGAACGGGTCTCTAGTAATGAAATCCAACCCCAATACATTTCAACTATCCATCAAGTTGCCAATATATTCACCAAAGCACTCGGTACAGACCGTTTCAAGTTTCTTCATAGCAAGTTGGGTGTTCGTGATCTACACACTCCATCTTGAGGGGGAGTATTGAGATTCATAATATCTTTTTTATTATTTTGTATCCTTCGTGACACATGTAAGTCTTATCACCTATGAATGCATCCACATGCAATGACTCATACAATGTCACATGTAAATGTTAGTGCTTCATTTATTACGTAGGACTAGGAGTGCATGCACATGCACTTGCATTCCAATTATTATTCCCTCTCCCTTAGCAAGATAGACTTCCTTTTGTCATATATATACTGCATGCGTATGATTAGTTGGATATAACATAAGACTTCTATATTTTGAAGCATTCTTCTCGAAACAGTTTATCCCAGTTAGTCATACATTTTATCCCAATTATATACTTTTTCAGTTATATTTTTATCATAGACGTCGGTTTACGTGTATTTTAGACGTGCTAAAATCTAATCTAATTTGTTGAAATCTTGTCTAAATTGAAATCAGTGTATGTAAGCATACTAGGACCATAATCAATCTACCTTTGGGCTGGGTGCTAATCGTGATACGTGAAGTTCACATTCATTTTCTTAATCACCCTAATTGAACTTTCCAAATTTGTTAATAACTTAATAATGATATTTTAAGTCACCTGATCATATTACGAATAAATCATTTACTTTAACGAAAATATTTAATATTTAAAGTCACTGTTATAGTGATTTAAGTATAAAAATGGAACATAAGTTACTACCACTAAAATTACTTCTATAGACACTGCATTTAAGAGATTATACTTTTATAAACAACTTATTATTAATCCTAATATGAAATTATTTCATTTTTATACAATTGATTTGTAATTAAAAGGCTAGGATTTGTACTTCAGTTTAAAAACTGTTAATTGATCATGGTAAAGACTAGCATCAAGCATCAGACTAAGTAAATGAAAACGAATAAAACCAACCTTGTCGTATATTATACAAAGAAATTGCGGTGCTAGAACAATCTTGCGCAATTCATACGGTTTCTACTTGAGGTCTGCGTTTCCGGATCGATCTGTTTCTTGCCGCATCATGAGAAGAAAATGGAAGGTGGTAATAAAATATCGATATTCCTCATCAGGTAGGAACCACATATTTACTCCACACTATACTTATCCAATATTCATAACCATCACTTCCAGCCTAGCTAGTTGTGAGGTTATCCTTGCATAGGAGAGGTCTCGTGTTCGAGTCCCACTAGCATCAGTGGAACTATGCTCCCCCAAAAAACCCTTCAAGTGGTAGGGCCAAGCGGTGTATACTAACCCGTAGGGCCAAGCCAAAGTTGGGTTTCTGGGGTAAGGGGCTGTGAAAGCGGTGGAGCTAGTCACTATAAAAAGTTTACCCATACCTTACCTTAGTTTTACCGGTGGGCGTAGCTCAACTGGTAGCAAGGGAGTGCCACAAGGGTTAGGTCTCGGGTTCGAATCCCGGCAACTGCGATGAGGGGTTACTATGCTGAAAAATGCATAGGCCTCTGCAAGTACCGGGGACAGAGCCTCACTCTCTATTTGTCAGATTGTGATTATAGTCCAATTTACATCCTCCCATCGTGCCGTCCGGTCGGTGTTGGGGGGCCCTCAGGGATGGGGTGTCATCCTTCTTTATTCCAATATTCATAAAGAATCTTCACCAATATTCTGACTTCAACAACCACCTAAATTGAATTCTAACTAATACTCTCTGACGCGCGAAGTTGCGAGTGTGAATGTGTGATTTGAGAATTATAGACGAATTAAGGGAAATTACTTCGACTAAAAATGTTTTTGTAAATTTTATAATAGGACTATCATGTTTTTATTACCAAAATAGGATTAATTATTGTTATATTTTGGCAGTACCTGACTTTAAACATAACAGTATTTTTTAAACTTGGCCGTAATTATTCTTACTTTGGGAATAAAAACATAACAGTCATATTTTGGAATTTACAAACGTTTTTAGTCCCATTTTGGGAATTTTCCCTTGAATTAATTTTATCGGATTGATTTAAGAGGTTTTTTAAATATAATTGAAATATTACGAAATATAATTAAAATTATTATGGGTATGTTATCATGATCATTTCATTGTAAATCCGCAAGTTTTTTGTGCACCATATTTCCATCTCTATCTCAAATATCTTAACTTCTCTTCTCTATCTATTGTCCACTTTTAGAGATACATGTACTTTGATCACATTCGATTTTATATATTTGATATATACGATATTACACACATTAATGATTTAGTGGAAGTGGAAGCTTATGTGATATAACAAAAAGTCCTAAAATCATCCCAATTAATGATCATAAAAAGAGGATATTGATGATTTGCGATAAGATTAGTATGTAGAGTGCATCATACTCTTAAAAAGTATATATAGTCATTAAATTTGTTTATCATACTTGGCCAAACGATATTTCCATCTCACTAAATTTGTTTATTTAGAATGAAAGTTTAAGAAAGTTTTTCAAAAAAATATACAAATGTTATTTAAAAAACATACAAATCTTATTTACAATACTCTTTTTAAGATTCCTTTTAAAAAAACGTATAAATGTTATTTTATGATATTTAAAATATAACTTTTTAAAACTCATCATATTTCACATGACACTTATTTTTTAAAAATTATTTAGACTTTACATTCTTGTAAACCCAATTGTTCCTTTTTTCCCTTTTGTTCCGTCCTACGAGTGGAAAATATACATTTAATATCGATCAAAACGCACTTTTAATGTTGGTCCCGAACCAACATTGATGCAACTGTAATTAAAAGTGCATTACTTTCGTATGGAACCACCCGTTACAGAAACTTTATAATAGCGGGTTAATCAAATCGTTATCGAAAATTTATAATGTCGGCTGCATTTGAATTGTTCTTAAACGCATTCAATAACGACTACACTTTATCCATTACCAAAACACTAAAATGTCAAATAAATTTTAACCGTTATCAAATACGTAGTACATTTGACATGGGAAGCGTATACCATCCAGGCATCCAGGCGGCTGTACGGCTGACACCGTACAATCAGTGACATTTTTGTAAATTTAATGAAGTTCATGATTTCTCTTAAATGAGCATTGATGTAATTTGGATGAGCATCGAATTTGTTCCTTTGAGTATTAGGAGCCTAATAATGAGCACCAGTGATCTCTGCTTCATATCTTCTAATTCAGTTTCTTTTTATTGATTTTCGTTTATAAAAAATTCTTAAATTGTGTTTATAATTAATTTCAATATGTCAATCTAATGTAGTATGATACGTTTGATATGTGCATCATTTTAAAATGAGCATAAACCGGTACCAAATTAGCATACATAAGTTACAAAATGAGTATCAAAAAATTCAAAACTTCATTTGTGTATGCTCATTGATTTTGGGCATTATATTTGATATGTGCATCATTTTAAGATGAGCATAAAGCAGTATCAAATGAGCATACATAATTTACAAAATGAAGATTCAAAAACTCAAAAGCTCATTTAATTTGTGTATGCTCATTGATTTTGAGCGTTATATTTGATATGTGCATCATTTTAAATGAGAATAAAGCAGTACCAAATGAGTATACATAATTTACAGAATGAGTATCAAAAAATTCAAAAGCTCATTCGTATATGCTCATTGATTTTGGACGTTATACTCATTTAAGTTTAACATCAAACACATTTTTAATGTGTTTAATACTCAATTGTGTATGTTCATTTCTTTGAGGCGTATACTCATCTGAGTTTAATATAAAACTCATTTTTAATGTGTTTTATGTTCAGTTGTGTATGTTCATTTCTTTTATGTGTATACTCATTTGAGTTTAATATAGAACTCATTTGAGATGAATAGCAGTAGGGATTCCTTTGTCTGCAGTATTCCTTTGTCTGCAGTACTCCTTTGTCTTCCAAAATCACAATCTCAAACACCAAAATTGAATAAGAAAAAGAGAAAAAAAGAAAAGAGTGAAAAGAAAGATAGAGGGAGGATCTGTTGTGTCCCTTCTGGAGGAGAAGGAGATGAGTGGTGAAAGGCAATGACTTGGAAGAGAGAGACGAATGATGAGCGTATAATCAACCAGGTGCGAAGCCAGATCTAAGAACCAGACGAGATCTGAAGCTGGTGCGAAGCTGAGTGCGAAGTCGAGGAAGAAGGCCAGAGCGTCAGAGCGAGATCGATCGAGGAGGAAGCGGAGTGCCAAAAAAGAACCGGTTGTACCGTGCGCACAGTACAACCGACTCTACAATGTATTTTACCATTACTCCGTATTAAATATTAGTACTACCTTTGACAAAACTTTGTTAATTCTATACTACAAATCTCTGTCCACTCTATACTAGTCTACAGTAGTACAGTTTCACGTCAACACCAATAATTTATTCCGAAATCAATCAACAAAACATATATCACTAATTGACAAAACAAAAAAACTATTTGTACACACTATTGTACCCACTTTTGTACCCAGTATGTCTGTGAGGAGTTCTTTTTTTGTCTGTGAATCCCGCTCATAGACAAAAATATGTCTATGAAGACATGGTGGGTACAAAAGTGGGTACAATAGTGGGTACAAGAAGAAGGGTTGTTGACAAAAACATATATCCATTAATTGATAATATCCACAAGTAACTTGTGTTTCTAAAGGTTTTCTAGCAAACAAATATTTCATTCGTGTTAACAACATACTTAATCAACCAACAAAAACGAAATGTCGAAATCAAATGTTTCCAAAACTACATAAATTATATTGGGGTTTAGGATGTTTTACTTGGACTATAATCTATCCCAAACCAGATTAGACCAGACCAAATTTGGATAGTTATAAAAATACAAAGAAACCAAACCAAATCAGCAAATTACAGTTCAAGTAAAAACAACCTTACAAAGATGAAATCAACCAACAAAGAGATGCTCATTGCTCAAATGCTCATAAATTCACATAAAAATGATGCCCATTGCTCTCGTGTCTCGTTGATTTCTTCTTCTGTGAATGATGCTTGGACGTTGATGAGCACCTAAAAATTATATAATGAATAAAGTAGACTATTGAAATAAAAGCAATAACATAGGTAAATACACGTTGAAAGAATTAAGTTAAAAATAAACATAAGGCAAGTCTTATCACCTTCAACCATGAATTGATAATACTAGCACAAACAATAGTAGCCATATGTTTCATAACATAATATCCACATTCATAACCTCCCCTTTCGACACTGCAAAAAAATTAACTTCATAGAATAAAAAAAATTGCAATACAAATGGTGACTAGCCTTTAAAAACGCATAAAACTAATTCAATTATTACAATTGTTCATCACAAATGGTGATTATTACCGTTGGCTGGACCCATTTCGCTTTGGAATTCTTTTTATTTTTGATCATTTGATGTGCTTGCATGGCCCTAATAATGAAAAGGTACACAAACATTAATCATGTAGCTTTCGTAATTTTAATGACAATAATCAATTTAATACTACTAAAATCGTATTGCACCAATAGAAGATTTATGATGTTCTTCGGCTTATTCACCAATGAGCACAAAAAGACAATTACATTCTGCTGTAGGCACAACACAAATAACTCCCAATGATTACTGAAATGAACATAGTACTCAACAATGATTACTGAAATGAACATAGTACAAAGCAAGTCACCTAAGCAATACACATTCATAAAATGAAATCAACAAATGATTATCAATGAACATGTACTCAGTACTTACGGATCGTAATATGACAATAAGTAACACTCTTTTATTTTCAGCAAGGTTGGCTAATATATACTCCGTATGTTTGGATATCATCACACTTGTTACCCCATCTTGAATGGTATGTGGATAAAAAAAACCATGCTGATGTGTGATGTTCTTTTGAACACAATTTATCTAAATACTTGTAAATTCAGGGCATAATACATGTGGTATATACTAAACAAAAAAGATAAACCATCCACATGATATAAAAAACACACTGTAAATGCAAATCTTTCCATCGAGCATGCTAATCCTTCTAAAGACCCCTTCGCTGACCAAGTTTAAATCCATTTGCATACGCTAATAAGCTTTATATTGGAAATTAAAATAGACATATACTCCCTCCGTCCCGCTAAGATTGTCCCATTTTACCTTTTCGGTAAGTCCCACTAAGATTGTCTCATACCAAATTTGGTAAAGATTGTGTGGCTCTAAACCATTATTACTTTATTCTTACTTTATCAATTTAATATCAACCACACAAACTCACTTTTCTTAATAATCGTGCCACCTTCTTCCGTCCCAATCTTAGTGGGACGGAGGTAGTATATAATTATCTTCAAACACAACTGAAGTAAACAAGTGAAAAGTCTTTAAAAATTCAGATTTTTTATCACAAATTTGATATCAAGAGGATAACTAGTCAACCCTGGTGAATAAGGATTAATAAAGCATATACATACTAAAACAAATGGACATGCAGCCAGGGGCGGATCCCTTTTGTGCAAGGGTGTTCATGTGAACACCCAAAAAATTAAAAATTAAATGTTAAAATATACATATAGAATTGATGTAATAATTTATATAGTGTATTTTTAGATAGTATCTCATACATTTAATCTTATTTGTCATTTGTTTGTTGTTGAAAAAAATATATATATTCAATTGTTGGATTGAATAATATTATTTGTTCAACATTTTGGCGATAAATTAATTTTGAACACCCAACTTTTGATCGCAAGATCCGCCACTGCATGCAGCCAAATTATATTATGAGCAGAATCTAAAGGAGACTTGAGGGAAATAACAAAAAAATAGCCCGGGGATTTAAGAAAAAGCCTGGCCTTAGACGCTTCTGAAATGGACATGGATATCATTGTACTAAAACAAGAAAAGACATATAATTTCAACTTAATTACATGATCCATACTTGTAGAATAACTGCACTAAGCATTTGGTTTCTCAAACATATCTCCAATATCTCTTTAGATCCTAGAAAAAGAGATATATCGACTCGACCAATAATATCTCTCCTTTAAAGATCAACTATATAGACTGTAGCACAAGGTGTTTAGTTATAGCCAGCAAACGCGATATTGAATTCTTGTGATTATATATCATAAGCAAAATCCTGTTCCCGAACATCATCATTCTATAAGATTAAAATGTTGAGATATATTACATAACAATTCCATCTGAATTTGAAGAGGTTTTCTTTAGTGCATGCATCTTCGTCTTGAGAAACATAGAATTTCTTACCAAATGACATTAGGAAGTTTGCTACATGAAAGGCATCCAGTATAAAACACTCACTATGACTTTCTCCATGATTTCTTAGAACCCACAGGCTCTTAAAAAGAACTTCCGTACTTCCTTTTTCACCCTTATCATTTTGTTACCTTTTAAGGGGAGAATTATGTGCTTGATATGCCCCCTAATTAAATCTTAATCCCAGAATATCATTTTCTTAATAAGCATACTAAATAAGCTTGCAAAAAGCTAGTGGGCAATTCTTTGAGGAACGACGAAGTATTAAATCATTTCACCCAATTAACTGACAATTTTGATGAACATTTAGCTTTTGAATTGAATTTAATTTAATGCAGTAATGGTTCTTTTATGCTTTATAAATTATGCATTTTTTACTGAGACGGTAATTGTTGGTGATGTGGAGGCAAATTATATACCAAATTGGTAATGATGTCAACACCTTGGGAAATAAAGATTGTACCCCTGCAACGTTAGCTCTTGTATTTGAAAAGGACAGAAACAAGCCTCAAGGTATTTGTTCTCTCACGAACTAAAATTTAAATTTATCTTCTCACCATTCATGTAAGGCTAAAAATTGCAAAGAAATAGAATTATTTGCTATCAACTATGAGTGACATAGGATTCTCTTAAAGCAATTTTAACTTTCCATAATGTCTTATAAAGAAAGAGATATGAGAGAGTACAACTAACCTTCCGATATGTCATTTCCTCCTCATTTTGGGGATTCATCAATCTTTGTGGCCATTGAATGAATTGATTGGGGGCCTGTCCAACCGTCATAACCTCCTCACTAAGAATCGGAACCATTGCAGTTCCATCTAAAACTTTAAATACTTCCATCCTAACAATATTTTGCAGCGATAATCTGATGGTGTATTGTAGGACCCAAATTATGTACCTAATAAAAATTTCATATTTCACGTGTCATAAAATTTGAACTACAAGTAATCTTGCAAGAAAAAAACAATTTTGAAAACTTAATAACAACTTAAAACAACTTACAAAGTATAATATTTACTCCTTTATAAGCATTAAATTCTTCACTGACATGAACTCTCACTAAAACCATTTGTTGTGCAATGGCTCTGAGTAAAAAATATTCATGGAGTGACAACCTAAAATAGCCGCATATGAGAACAAACTCACCATACAACATGCACTTATGTCCTATGACCAAATTAGAATAAAAATAAAAGAAGTAAATTTGATGAAATAAGTTAGAGGAAAACAAGCTCAAAAAGAGAGTAATGTAGTAAGCATTATGAATATGCATCTTATGCATTTTGACTTCATTTTCCCACTCATTGACACCCTTCATCTTAATTGTCCATTTCACGTCTCCGACCTTCGCGCATCACCGTCCACTTCACGTCTGGCTCCTTCCGCCCAAAAGTTGCAGACAAGAACTCAAAATACTATAGGAGTATTTTTGTTAGCTTTTCAAAGAGTTGAAAGGCAATGACAAAAGACTGCAAAATCTTGTATGAGCTACAGAAGTGTAATGTCGGTATGCATGTTTGGAGATATTCAAACAAGGAATTGTGGTATGCTAATAGGGGTTCTCGCAATAGTGTCCCACAAGATTGTTGGGATTTTAGCTCTTGGTGAATGCTTTAAACTAAAGATACTCTATATCAAAGGGTTGAGCAAATTGAAAATAAGATCGTTATTGTTTTGAGAAAATTTGTTGCAATTTATTATACAGTTCATTCATATTAGTAGCTATAAATTTCATCTTCAGTTACAAATCTAGACTTTCAAATTTGATTCTCGGTCCTTCGGTTACAGATTTTATTTACGTTGCCTAATCTCTCTCCCCACTCCTTCACCCCAGCTCTCTGGCTTTTCTCTATAAATTCAAGGGAGACTATCCTTCAAGAGGTGTGGTTTTCAGAAGGTATTCTCTCTGTTTTGTTCTAGGATATATTCAAAAGAAAATTGAGCAGTATTGTTAAGGGTGCTTATAGATTAGAGCAATACAACACCAGTGCAGGCGTATTGTCTTTCCAATTTCTCAGCGGTTGTTTTATCCTGGGGGCGTCGGGCCTAAACGTTGCAGCACAATTCTGAGCGACTTCCGAAACGTCTTAAAGAAAGTGCAATCCTTGACTCAACCAATATTATTTGTTTGGTAATCTTGTTCCTGTCTCTTTCTAATATCAAAGCTCGATATTGTCCCAACAAAGATTCACGGAGGAGGGTTTGGATATGTAACAAAAGTAAGTCAAATTTCTGGGTTTATGACTCAACTAAGAGAGTGGTTTGAGTACATTGCTGATAATGTTATTGCACCTTGCTTCGCCACTGGATGAGCTATGGGGAGAACTAGACAAGTACTTGATCCGTCTTGAAGAAGTCTTAAGATCAAGTTTTCTTCATTTTGTAATTTATTTAATCCTTTAATCTAACACTCCGTAACACATACTCCCTCTGTTCTCTAATACCCGGCCCTCTTTCCATTTTAGGATGTTCTCTATTAGTTGTCACCCTTTCCACTTTTGGTAAGTTTTTTCAATAAATATGCTCATTTATCCACATTCTCTTTCCTACTTTTTTCATTCTCTTTCCTACTTTTTCCTTTACACACAACTCAGTACACCTTTTATCTTACCCCTATTAATTACATCTTAAATCTTGTGCCAAAGCCTATACTCTCATCTATTAGAGAACGGAGGGAGTAATATTTATTCTTTTATTTTTAGGGATAAATAATACGTAGTACTTATTTAGTTATTTTATGGGGAAGACTAAGTACTCATCTATTTTATAAGAGGTAAGAGTCAGATTGGTACTCGAAGTTGCATAAAAAGGGTCAAATCAGTCCTTATATATGAGGCTCTGTCTGAACGTCATCATTTGGGGCGGTTCCAGGTGGAGGTGGAATTTTTTGATGAAATTTTTTGAACATCTTATTCATCACGTCTAGTTCACTCATGCCAAATGTCAGCTAAAAATTCAATTGGGAAGGCATTCAAATGAATTTTTGAAGATAACTGCGCAGTTAAAAGCGTATTTATCTTCAAGAATTCATTTGAATGCCTTCCCGATTAAAGTTTTAGCTGAAATTTGGTATGAGTAAACTAGACTTAATGAATAAGATGCTAAAAAAATCATCAAAAAGTTCCACCGGGAACCGCCTCAAATGGCGACGGCCGGATAGTAAGGACTTATTTGACTCTTTTTATGCAACTTCGAGTACCAATCTGACTCTTACCTCTATTTTATAATACTCCCTCCGTCCCAGGGAGAAGTTCCCACTTTACTTTTTTGGTAGTCCCAACAAAAAGTTCCCATTTCCCTAAATGAAAAGTTATCCTACATCAAAACAGTGTCAAACAGTGCAAAACAGTGCCAAACAGTGTCGAAACAGTGCCAAACAGTGTCGAAACAGTGCCTAACAGTAAAATTTACCCCTCAGTAACTTTATTTCCTAAATATGTGTGAAAGTCAACCCGGGAACTTCTCCCTGGGACGGAGGGAGTAACAAATTACAAACACACTACTTATCGAAACAGATTGTGGCATAAATGATTAAAAATAAAGTGGTTCTTATGTTTTTGTCCCAAAAAGGAATAAAAATGGTTTTAAATTCCAACATATAACTTTTATGTTTTGGAGTTGTTACATTGAAAAATATTGTTATTAATGCTTTGAAAACATTGTCGTGTTAAATTTGCAGCCTAAATTGTGTAGTATTCGAAATATGCAAGTTTGAAATTTTTTTTTGCTTCTTCCTTTCTTTGTTCAACCAATTCAACTGTCTCGTCTTAAATCAGTAGATTCATTTGATTAACTAGAAACAAATGCATCGACAATGAAAGACTACATCAAGCATTAATAAACTAAATTAATCAAATGAGAGAACATACCTGTTACTCCGTATATTATACAAAGAAATCGTGGCGCGAGGACAATACAGGTTTCACTAAATCATCGAGCTTAATCACATTTTTGAAATTGAAAAAATATTTAGCGCAATTCATCACGCTCTTACCCTCAAGTTTATGCGTTTCGGCTAAGGTGAGATACAGATATACAGTACTACGTATAAGGTGAGGAATAGGGCATAACAAATGGTATACGAAATGACTCATTTGCTATTGTGATGTGATGGTAATAACATAACTGCCACAAAATATACAGCAACCAAATCCAATCTACTCCGTATTAAAAATCTTCACCTACGTACATGGCATGTGGTAATTGCACCCATAGTTAGCTAAATACGGTACGAGAATTAAACGGGGTTTAATACGTACGCGTTTTATTCGGTAACACGAATAATAAAAAAGGTCAAAAATTCGTTGAAAAATACGTTGACTTTTAAAAAACGTGTGGATACGTGTACGTGTAAAATACGGTATATGTTACAAAAATTCGGACAAAAAATACGGGATATTATTTTGAACATTTAAAGTATATAATTCATAAAATAAGATATATAGTAAAAAAGTATACACACATTCAAGTAGCAAATCTCAGTATCAGATAAAAGAATAATGTGTAATTGCATAAGTTGATGACAATAATAAAAATAGTAATTAACTCCAAGAAATAACTTTGCAAAATAAAGTCAAAAAAATGAGGCATAATAACAATAGATGAGAATAAGGTTAAGATCATTATCTTTATATGATCATCAAATAATACTCAAGTTAAATTCATCATTTTCATCAAGATGATGGATAACATATGAGAAAAGTATGTTTTACGACTGCTACACTTATTATTGTTTATGTGTAAAACTGTATAAGTTTATATTAAAAATATGACAGGTTTAGAAAAAACTTAATATTGATATGCTTGATTGGGAAACATCATATATCTAGTAGTATTTCAAGTTTTGGTATTTGATTTTAGGAAGTTAGCTTTGGCCCTCATGCAATTAAATTTAGTATTTAATAATTGCACTGTAACAATACAAAAACACGTTGTCACGAGGAAGATGTTTTCCTATTTGCTTTTAAGCTATTGTTGGTCTCAATGCATTTTATGTACTCATTCAATTGATAAGTTTATGTTTTTATTTTTTGTAAAAATACGGAAAAAATACGTTTTATACGGGAAGCTGGAGTTTTTTTCCTTTTGAAACGGACCGACATTATTTTTTGTTTTAAACGCATTTTTTTGGTCAAAAAAACGGTACGTGTTTAAAATGTGTTTATCGGTTAGAATTGGACCATAACGGAAAGGGAACCAAAATATGACTCTGGTAACTTTATTGTTAATAATTAGTATTCATATGTTACATTATAGTGACTATAAAATTTTCACATAATAATTTATAGTCACATTTTTATTTATAGATTATTTATTAGTAATATTTTAGGAAAAACCTTCATCGGGATATTGAATTTATCGGAAGCCAATAATATCATATAGAGAATAACAAATCATATGAACTTATATTACTTTGTATTAATTTATATTTCCCCGTTCTCTTTTAATTGCATCACTTTCATTTTCACGTTTGGCAACACATAACTTTGATCATTAATACTATGTATATTTAATTTTCTATTTGTAAAAAAACTTAAAAACCACTTTGTGAAAATTTAAAAGAAATAATGACAATTCATCAAAAAAAAAAAAAAAAAAATAATGACAAAAATAAGAGTTGAGACTTTTGACTTTCCAAAAAAATGGACCATTTTTGGGATGGACAAAAAAGATACGAAGTACTTGAGTTGGGCGGATAACAAACCACAGAGATGCTCCATCGCTCATTTCAGACTGCCGACGCCGAGCCACTACGTCGCCGCCGCCGGGTCATTGCACTATCGCCGTAGTTGATGCCCTTATCATCGCACCGCGCACATATCTATCATAATATTCTCGTTTCTATTCTAGAATAATGAAGATATGGTATCTTCTTCGTCGCAGGGAAATGGGCGAGGTGGGCTGGTGTAGGGGAGAGGGATGGTGCAGTGGAGGGCAGCGGCGGACGCAGGATTTCCCGATAGCAGGGGCGGCAGTAGAAGAATATACATACAAATACATATATATTAAAAATTTCGGGGTAAATATACCTAGAATTTTTTTTTTCGGAGGGGCGGCAGCCCCTCATTGCCCCCCTTTGTGTCCGCCGCTGGTGGAGGGGGCGAGGGGCTGGTGCTGTGAAGGGGAAGATGGGGCTGGTGCAGTGGGTGCAGGGGCAGGGGCGAGGTGGCTGGTGCAAGGGAGGGGCTACTATAAGGTTTGGGACAGGGGCAGGGGAGGGGTTGAATAGGGTGTAGATGCGGGGCGGCGACATGGGGGCTGGGCAGTTCGCGGCGGCTGTGGCTGGGCGTTGGTCGAGGGCGGTAGTTGGGGGTTGCGTTGTTCAATGATTAGTCATTGGTTGAATCGCACATGGTAACTGTTCGGATTGGTCACTCATTGGATCGGTCACGAGCGTTAGTCAAGTTGGTGACTTGCCGAATTGATCACTGGTCGGATTAATCACACTCGTTGGTTGAGTTGGTCACTGGTCGGATTGATCACGATCATTGGTCAGGTTGGTCACTTGTCGATTTGGTCATTGTTCGGGTTGTTCATGGTCACTGGGTGAATTGTTCATGGTGATTTGTTAGTATGGTCATTGGTTGGATTGGTCACTGAGCAGATTAGTCACTTGAGAAATTAGTTATGCTCAATAGTAGTTGTTTAGGCTCATTTTTGAAACTTTTTAAAAGTGGTCCTATATTTGTCCATATCATTTATTTTTGTATTATTTATGGACAAAACCCAATTTAAAATGAGAGGAATTTAATTACATTTTTTCAATATTAAATTCTTATTGCATTAGTAAATAAAATGTAGTAAAAGTAGAGAATTTGAATAGTGTAAAATTTTTAATGTTGAAACAATTTTAAAATGGAGGTAATTCATTTGAACCTATATAAGGAAAGTTTGACAAGCACTTTGTCGTAGTGCGTCAAAATAATATTCGATACTAGCACTTATACGTAGTATAGTGAAGTAGAGTTCATATCCACAGGGAAAGGAATAACTTTCTTTTCAATTAACTAGTAATAAAAAGGGGGTTTTGAGATTGTATGATTTAATTAATTAAAACAACAAGTTAAATGACTAATATGAGATTTAATTCAAGAATAAAATGGACTTGACTTTGCTACTTTCCACTTGTTGATACGAACTCTACATCACTATACTACGTATAAGTGCTAGTATCAAATATTATTTTGACGCACTACGACGAAGTGCTCGTCAAATTTGGCGCCGTTGCCGAGGAAAGGCAATTAATTTTTCTTTTTATTTTATGATAAGTCTCAAACATGACAAGATTTCAAGCATGCTTTAGGCCCAATTTTGCACATAAATGATTTTCTTTTGTCACTAACAAGCGGGAAATTCTTAGTTTTATCATGAATTAAATCTCATATTAGTCGTTTAACTTGTTTTAATTAATTAAATCATACAATCTCAAAACCTCCTTTTTATTACTAGTTAATTGTTAAAGAAAAAAGCCCAAGAAGAAGGAAAGTGGCGTGTGTTTCTTATTACCCTGGTCCAGCAAACTCCTTCACTCGAAGTTCACCTTTGCTAGCGAGAAGAAAAGAAGAAGAAGAAGAAGAAGAAGAAGAAGAAGAAGAAATGGCAGCAAAACTGATAAGGATATGCAGAGGATTTTCAGGAAGAAAACGATTTGAAGCGGAGGAATGGGCGAAACGGCTGCGGAAGAGATCAAAATAATCTCCCTGATTAGCTTTTAAATAGGAAGAAGAAGAATCACTCATCACCACCTTTTCCAGCCACACCACCCTCAAGAAAAAGAGGAGATTAGCACATCATTTTCAGCCGCTGAGTTGGAGAAGGGCAGATTCTTCTATTCTTTCTTACGGGCAGCAGCAGGTTCAATCAAAAGCAGGACAAATTTCCTTTTCTTTCTTCTGAAGTAGCAATACTTGGCAGCAAGAATTGGGAAAGATTTCCCAAGAAGAAGAAGGAAAAAAAAACAAAGGGCTGATTGAGAGAGCAAAAACGCAGGAGTCCAAAGCTGCAGTAAATTCTGGAGAGCGAGCCTCAGGTGGAAGAAAAAAAACAGCAGCTGGAGTTTAGAAAATAACAGTAGCCGCAGGATTGCAAAAAAATGGCAGCAGCTGGAGTTTCATTCAATTTTAATCCCTAAGGTCTCATTTTCAGTTTCTCTCACTTAGATAAGCTTAGATTTTTTTCTTTGAATTATTTTTGGCATTGCTAATTGCTCTAGAATTGCTTCTCAATTGATATTGGTATCTTATTATTATTATTATTAAGTATTTATGTTTGTGGATTGGAATGCATTCAAACAATTGTGTTAGTTTTGTGTAATCATGTTTGGCCATTTCTCAATAGAGTTTGGATTCGTATAGGTCAAGATTAAAAGTAGTTCTTGAATATTGAATTGAATTGGAATATTATTGCTAGTCCATCATTGGAATAGCTATTATTGAATTGAATTGGAATATTATTGCTTTTCCATCGTTTGCAATGGAGCCAAAGATTCATTATTTTTTGGCTTGAGAATATGATGGAATAAAGCAAAATGGCTCACGAAACTGTCTGCGCTTCTTTGTTATGAAGCAGCAGTCAGTCCATGCAATTTTGGACGCGATTTTCACTATGGGTCATCCGGAAACAGTCTCTCTGTGCACACTTGACTAACTCATGCCCACACTATGAAGTAACCCCTCCTTTAACTCAACACAAGGAGGCGAACCTACTGGAGTACGCGAGGAAAGGAGAAGGTCCCCTGGCTAACCAATTTCAGAATAATAGAGGTAATGCTTTTGGGTACAATAACCCAAGAGTAAACTTTCCAGGTGGAAACAACCAGTGGCGAGACAACAATCGATACGGTGGATACCAAGGAAACCAAGGGTATCAAAGGGGGCAATTTAACAACCCAAACAACCAGGTTTATATACCCCCACACCTGAGGCAGCAAGAAAATACCTCTCATGCTCAACATGACATGGTGATGTTTGAAATAACAAAGCTTAAGGAGGAAAAGGCAGCTGAGACCCGACAACTTGATCAACGCTTGAAATCAGTGGAGACAAACGTCTCAGATCATCATAGCATCCTCTTAGGAGAGAAATGAGAATGAACTACAACCCTTGGATTTGTAATTTTTCATGTCTCCGTTTTTTCTCTACTTAAGGGTAAATAAGAGATTTAATCATTCCATTAATGCTAATCGCTTCTTTCCATAGTTGGCAAACTTGGTATCATTAAATAACGCTACTATTATATTGGTTGACGGTTACTTATTTGATCGGCCCCCGCATATGCCTGTTCGTCCCTTTGAATTGGAAAATAGTATCGGTGGGCGTAGCTCAACTGGTAGCAAGGGAGTGCCACAAGGGTTAGGTCTCAGGTTCGAATCCCGGCAACTACGATGAGGGGTTACTATGCTGAAAAATGCATAGGACTTCTGCAAGTACCGGGGACAGAGCCTCATTTTCTATCTGTCAGATTGTGATTATAGTCCAATTTACATTCTGTCATCGTGTCGTCCGGTCGGTGTTGGGGGCCCTCAAGGATGGGGTGTCATCTTTTTTTTTTTGGAAAATAGTTTGCAACAAATATATGAACTGAGGCGGTGGTTAATATGAAAAAACATTAAATGCAATACACATAAGAAGCTGCAAGTGTTTGGTTTGGCGGACGTTCATAAGATTATTGACAATAATGCACTATAATGTATTGAGAAGTGCAATAATCACAATGGGTATGTTTGGTAAATGGCTTATCGGCCAGCTTTTAGCTTGTTTGACCCATTTCAGCTGCTTGATTAGTCAAAAAAGCTAATAATAATGTTTGGTAAATGACTTTTAAAATTAGCTTGTTGAGTTTGAAAAGCTGAAAAAATGGATTGTTGAAGAAGCTAAGGGGAGTAGCTTCTTCACTTGGTTGGTTCAATTTATTCCCATAAGGCTATAGCTCGAAGCTCCCAAAGTGACTGCATATAGCTCCAATTTATTCCCATCGTTGTTTTGCTCGTTTTTTTTTACTTAGTCAACCCAATTATTTTGCTTACCAGTTTTTCTTCTTTTTCACTCGTTTTGCTTTCATTGTTTTGAGTTAGCATTTTTTAAATTAATCATTTAAGTAATATATACTAATAATTACTCTAATTATTTTAAACAAAACTTGTTTAATCAAATACTTAGTACTATCTAGACAAATAATACTCCCTCCGGTTCTAAATAAACTTCTCACTTTCCTTTTTGGGACAGTCCAAAATAAACTTCACACTTCCTTATTTCCTTATTTGGCAAAGAAATCTACACCAAAACAGTGCCAAACAGTGCCAAACAGTGTCTCAACAGTGTCAAACAGTGCCAAACAGTGCCAAACAGTGTCTCAACAGTGTACTCTACAGTAAAGTCAACTTTATTTCCTTAATAACTGTGAAGTCAAACACTGAAGTTTAAAAAGAACCGGAGGGAGTATATGCTTAACTAATATTTTATATTATTAGTTATGATCTCTATCTTGAATTAATTTGATGTTTCTAGTTTAAACTATGTAGCACGGAAACCCTCAGGAAAAAGTACGTTTCCCATTTCGGAAACTCTCGGAAACTCTTTGGAAACTCTTCAAATAAGCGTTTTTTGAGCAAAAGTTGGTGTTTCCCGTTTCCCGTTTCCTCATGATTTTCGCGTTTCCGTGCAACACAGGATTTAAATGATTGAGTGATTATAAAATTAGATACTATAAATTTTTGTAATATGATGAACATTCAATATATCAAAGTACATATTAAAATACTAAGTAGATTTCATTCAACAAATTTTAAAATTTCCAGTTATAAAAATAATTTATATCGTTGAAGTAACAATAGTTATAAAATTTTCATTCTTAGCAATAATAAAATACGATGAGTATTATGATGTCTTTATATGTCTTTTTACACTCTATAAGCCATTTCGAAACAGCCAATTTTACCAAACAGTTATTTATAATCAGCTAACATAACCAGCCGGTCAAAACAGCTAACACAACCGGCTGTTAGGAAACAGCTGACACAACCAGCTAACAGCAACAGCTAACAGCCATTTACCAAACAAGGCCAATATGGAAGTATAAAATCCTGAAAATAGTACTACTAGTAGTCTAATACACAAGCTACATTGCATCACCTTAATAAAATGATGCACTTTATTTTTAAGCATTAGGCACGTTCACCACAGTTTTTTTAAACTATGTGGGCAACATACATGGTCATTTTGTGTATTCTATAAATATCATCATTCCAAAATTACTATAGATATACTTTTGTGCATCTATTTTTAATTTCACGTGCAACATGCAATGACAATATTATCAATTAACAAAAGTGCATTGTGTTTGTCTTTGAGATGCATTAATCGATCTAGTTCTTTTTACAAGTTGGAAGAGGATTTTACAAATACAGTGCATCATTCAGAATATGCTCTCGATATACTTGTGTGCATCTATTTCTAATTTCATGTGCAACATGCAATGATAATATTATTTATTTACAAAAGTGCATTGTATTTGTATTTGAAATGCATTAATCGGTCTTGTGATTTTACATAGTTGGAAGAATATTTTATATACATAGTGCAATAGTTCATCATTCATAATTTTATATCGATATAATTGTGTGCATATATTTGTAATTTCATGTGCAGTGCAATGAGTATATTATTCTTTCAGAGAAGTGCATTGTATTTGTGTTTGAAATGCATTAATCGTTCTAGTGCATTTTATAGAGTTGAGGAAGATTTAGCATCAAAAAATTCTTGAGCAAATTTGATCGTTTATGGATTGTTGGTTTTTGGATTTTTCCATTTTGTGTGTCGCTTAGAGCATCTTTAGTGGGCATGTGGATTGTACCCTTTAAAAATGGACATGTCACTTGTATAGAAAGCCCATGGAGCTGATGTGGACTTGTACACTTTTAAATTAATTTTTAGAATTCAATGGTACAATGGATTTGTAGAATTCGTTTCTCATACATGGGCTACGTCATGTAACTAAAAAACTGCCGCAAGTATTCTTCTTCTATCTTTCTCGAGGGAGGCATAATCTGAAGAAACATTATACAGCCGCAGGTCAGGTATGTATTCCTATCTCTAGCTAGTTTGTTTTTCACAGTAGCTTAATATTCCCTGCGGCATGTTTTTCACTTTTTAATTGTATTTAAAACATTAAATTGAAGCAAGCGTAGATTGTTATGCATAGGATGTCATAGCCCTAATCTCGTGTATTTTTCACAATAGCTTAATCTCTCTGTTCTCTTTACGTTCCTCTGTACACACACATATTCGTATATATGCCCTGCACGTTTATAATCTTAATGGATGTTGGTGTAAATTATTTCGATTGTGGATTATCTATACAAGTCATAATCATGCTCCAGTACATGATTCTTTTAAAAATAGTGAAGGTCTTAGGAGATTAAAATATTACTCCGTATTGATTTCAAGCGCTATAATATTAAGGAATTATACTCAATCTTATACTTTTCTGATAAATATATTTCAGGTGATATAATATAATAATGTCTTCTTCAGAGTCGGAAGTTGATAGTGATAACTCATCATCTAACGGTGATGCGTTCTCGTTGACAAAAAAACTATTAGAGGAAGCATCAAAAGAAGATGATAGTAGTTCAAAAATGACTTGTGATTTGAGTAAAGGGTCAGTTTAGTCCTCGAAGTTGCAAAAAAGGCGTCAAATAAGTCCTTATATAGAAGATTCTGTCCGGACGTGCCATTTGAGGTGGCTCCCGGTGGAATTTTGTGATAAATTTTTTTGAGCATCTTATTCATTAAGTCTAGTTTACTCATACCAAATTTCAGCTAAAAATTCAATCGGGAAGACATTCAAATGAATTCTTGAAGATAACAACGCTTTTAACTTTACAGTTATCTACAAGAATTCATTTGAATGTCTTCCCGATTGAATTTTTATCTGAAATTTGGAATGAGTAAACTAGACTTAATGAATAAGATGCTCAAAAAATTTCATCAAAAAATTCCACCGGGAGCCACCTCAAATGGCACGTCCGGACAGAATTTTCTATATAAGGACTTATTTGACCCCTTTTTTGCAACTTCGAGGACCAAACTGACCCTTATCCCCTTGTGATTTGATTCATGGCACCACCACTCATGCTTCTGTAATAGTTGCAGCAATGTTAAGAGGCAATAAGTGTGCCAATCGAGGTACAACCAGTGGCAGGCGTTATATTCATCGCGATAGAAAGGAGCGTCATGAGATTATTATTAAAGACTATTTTAATGGTGATCAGTCAAAGTATACATCCGACCATTTTCGCAGAAGATTTCGAATGGATGTGGAACTATTTACTCGCATTTTGGTAGCAATTGAAAAGAATGATAATTACTTCTCCTTAAAATTTGATGCCACAGGAAAAGAAGGATTAACTCCTTTACAAAAAAACGGTAGCTGCAGTGCGAATGCTTGCTTATGGTTGTGCAGCTGATCTTTTGGATGAATATGTTCAAATTGGGGAGAGCACTGCAATTCAAAGCCTTAAGCATTTCTGTGATGCTATGATAAGTGTTTTTGAAGAAGAGTACTTGAGAAAGCCAAACAAAAATGATATTGCGGTCCTTCTTCAAGAAGGAGAAGAACGAGGTTTTCCTGGCATGTTAGGGAGTCTTGATTGTATGCATTGGCATTGGAAGAATTGTCCAACCGCTTGGCATGGTACTCATACAAATGGTTTTAAACGAGTCCCAACACTCATATTAGAGATTGTAGCTTCAAAGAATTTGTGGATTTGGCACGCATTCTTTGGTATGGCTGGTACTAATAATGACATAACAGTATTAGACAGATCTCCACTTTTTGATGATATTATAAATGATGTTACACCACCATGTAACTATGTAGTTCAATGTCATCATTATGATATGGGGTATTATTTGACTGATGGAATTTATCCACAATTTGCTACGTTAATGCAATCTATCTCTCAGCCATCTTCTCTTAAAGAGAAAATATTTTCTGAGCGCCAAGAATCTACAAGGAAGGATGTGGAGCGTGCTTTTGGAGTTTTGCAAAGTAGATGGCATATTGTTAAAGGTCCCGCACGTATGTGGAAGGAAAAAGATTTGGAGAAGATAATGAAGACTTGTATCATCTTGCATAATATGATCATTGAGAGTGAATGTAGTCAAGGAATGAATCCTGAAAATTGGCAACCTCTTGGAGATGAAAGGGTTGAAAATGTAGAGTTAGAGTGTGATTATAATTTTATTGTCTCTAGAATGATTGGAAGAATGAAACAAGTTCAAGACAAGAGAGTTCATAGAGATTTGAAAACTGATCTCATCAATCATATATGGGAGCTATATGGTGGTCAACAAGCAAGCTAATATTATGGGAGCTATAATTTTATTTTTGTTTCCATGTATGATATTCTACTCTTATTCATTAATCTAAGGATTGTGTCTGTTTTTATGGAATTATTATTTATGTTTTGGATTGATTATATTCAATATACGTTAGTTATATTCTTGGGAGCATATTGTGTGCCAAGCATTTGGGATGCTTTTCAATTTACACTGCTACTGTCACTTGATTTCATTTTTCTAGCAGCCATTGCCCTTGGGTGAGTACTAATTTTTTCTCTTGCATTAGTTATAGCTTTTGCTGTATTTTACTACTTTTATCGTTTCCTAAGCCTCAATGGAAATCAGTGTAGTAGAAATTTTACTTTTCATGTTTGTTGATGGTAAAAATTAATTGAAATCAAAGAAATGGCAAACTGGGAATGGTTGGAAGTATCTGAAAGTATATTTAAAAGAGTTTTGTTCATTCGCGTGTGTCAATATCATCTCATATTTCCTTATACAAAACATTATGTAGTTCATATCTTTTCTTTCTGGTCTGAATATATTTCAATAACAAATGTTCTTTTTCTTTACTGGAAACACATTTTTAAAAAGTTCCTTGCACTGAGAGTTTTTTTTTCACAAATAAAGACGAGTTATACTAACAGTACAAAAAACTTTCAAAAAGTGTTACAAAAAAACACATGGAGTATCACACTGTTTAACACATCAATGATGTATACTCCGTATTAAAAATTACATACAAAATATTTTGCTTGCTGAATACATAATGTATTCAATGGCTTATCTGAAACTTTGATGCAAAACTAAAGAATTTGGTCTGCAATAAAGTTTACCATATGGCATAGCACCTTGGAAGAACATTTGCTAGTTATTACATCATCTAAGTGATAATTATTTTGCAGATGGCCATGGAGTAGTTCAAATGGTTTTCCTTCGATATGCATATGGCATAGCACCTTGGAAGAACATTTGCTTATATTATAAGAGAATATGGGATGAAACATAAAAATATGTCAAGTCTAGTTTCTACTGTTGCCAAGTACAATGTGAATAATGGTTAATCAATCGCAGATGAAATATCGTATTAAGGATAGTTACACAATTGAGGGATGTATGCGTTTTCTTACATAAAACTCAAAGGTAAAAAATTCCATAGCCCAAATTCCCAACAAGAAATCATCACAAATATAGTCCAAGAACGACAATATCGTACGGACGTCTGGGGAAAATCAAGAAAAGAGGAAAACTAGACAGAAGAGCATATACATAGATAAGATCGCAAACACGGCGGCGGCGGCAAAAAAACAGCAACAGCGAACAAGAGAGAAGAGCCGATTTTATTCTCACCGAGGATTTCTCATCACTCATAACTCAATCAAAGGGAGAAGTTTAGAAAAATACCTGGAAAACTTCTGAGTGATGAGTTAGCAGATGCAAAGAATAGCAGATGCGAAGTAGCAACCAAGAAGAAATAGCGGAAATCAAATTAGAGGAGCCTTTTATGGCCTTCAATTTTGAGATTTGGCGGATAGTTTTTCACTTCCCGCTAACAACTTGCGGCGCGGGAGATGAAATTTTTGCTGAGTCAAGCGTGGGACGGGCTTGCTGAAAGTCCATGGAGAAATAGAAGCCGTGGGTTTTCTCCCGTTCCAGCTCATCAGCAAGGGGCAAATCGATTGTTTCGTTGGAGACTGTTTTTTTACTTGCCCTCAATTTTATTTTAGGTGGCAATGCATTCTTAGGAATAGAAAGGCCCACTAAAGATGCTCTAAAGATGCTCTTATGATGCTATTGCTCTTTGTTGGGATTTCCTTCTTTTCTTAAACTCGTTCACTTTGGAAGGTTTTTAGTGTGCATGGAATGACCCATGTAACTTTCTTTTTAATACGTAGCTTTTTTGTTAGGTAGATTCTATGGTACCCATAAGGTACCATACCTTTGTCCACATGGACCAATGAGAATATAGCAGTTGAATTATTTAAATCTAAATTAAAAATGATAAAGTGGTGTGGCCCAATCAAATGAATAGTAGGTACGGTACCCTATTTTTTAGAAGGGTACCGGAGTTGTCACCTTTTTGTTAAGAGAGACTTTCTCGGTGATGCACCGACTCCTCCACTTCATGCGAGTCAACTGCCTGAATGAAATTTACTATTGTATCCTTCATTAACTACTACGTTGCATATTACCTTTTTAAACGCACATACCGATGGGCGTAGCTCAACTGGTGACGAGGGAGTGCCACAATGGTTAGGTCTCGGGTTCGAATCCTGGAAACTGCGATGAGGGGTTAGTGGGTTACTATGCTGAAAAATGCATAGGACTTCTCCAATTTACATCCTCCCATCGTGCCATCCGGTCGGTGTTGGGGGCCCTCAGGGATGGGGTGTCATCCTTTTTTTAAACGCACATGTCCGACAATAATTATGGCAGAAAAGCGTAGTTAGAAATTTATAATATCCATCCGATTATGTTGATCGAGGGCCACAATTTGTTCTCATTTTTCTCCTAAGGCTTCTTTCTCACAAGAACCAATCCCTGTAGTTAGAACTTACATGAGTATATGGATACCAACACATCATCCTTAGAGAGTTAAATTTCCATCTTGGCCTCTCTAATAAAGGAGTGTATCTTATGCTCAAAAGCTCGAGATGTCAAGACTTGCAACATTTGCATGTCTCACAGGCATCTTACAGATTTTTGCCAAAAACTCCAAAAAGAATACCTTGAACAACTTGATGATGTTGGCTTCCAAAGGTAAGTACCTCACGTGAGGTATGATCCATTCTCCAACTCTAACATGTCTACGGAGGACATGATTCGGACTATTGCTACCAACATGACCACCATGCAAAACAACATGGTGCAATTCTGATAAGTCCGTATTTTGACACGTATTTGATGCGTGTTGAGATCGGCTTTTGATGATTTTCCTAGTTTTAAGGTGTTACAAGTCTTAATTTTAGCTCAAGTTATGTTTACCGGGCGTTGGTTCGAGTTTTGTGTTGTTTGTAGTCAAAATCAGGGAATTTGAGCCCGGCACCGGCACTTGAGGAACAATCGGGATGATTTGAGAAGCATTTGAGAATGATTTGATAGCTTTGGAGGTCTCCGGAAGATTCACGATGAAGATTTGAAGGAAAAAGAGCTCTAGGATTGGCTACGGGGTCAAAAGAAGACGAATAGAGCTTGAAAACGACGATCAGAATGACCTTCTGTCAATCGTTCAAGCATATCTCTTTGTAGAAACAACCAATGGACACGATTCAAGTTGAATAGGAAAGCCAACTTCAAGGTCTACAAATCATATGAAGACACCTTTGCGAGAATCTGAGAGGAAGAAGGTGCAAACAGACGATGAAGTCAGATGATCTCTGCTGCGATTTCAGAAAGACACCTTCCACCGTTTTGATCATATCTCTTGATTGAATGATTCAAATCACATTCGGCAAATTGGGGTGGATAGAGAACTTCATTATCTACAACTTTCATGAAGGAAGTTTTGTCAAATTCGGAAGTTAAGTAGGCACGATCGTGCCCTCAAAGTCAGACACGATCGTGCCTGAAGAGAAAAGCACCGCGGAGCTACTGCCTGCCAGGCACGATCGTGCCTGAAGGGAGGCACGATCGTGCCTGCCCAAAATGCGCGTTTTTGCTCCGGAGGCACGATCGAAGGCACGGTCGTGCGTGGCATCGTGTCTGGCTCCGAAAATCCTAATTCAGCTCAAATTTCACCCGATTTTTCTATTTAAACAGCCTGTTAACCCCCGTTTTGAAGGGGGAGCTTAGAGAGAGTGCCTAGCACGAATTTTAGAGGGTTTTTGGCCTTGTTCATCAATCTTTTGGTATTCTTTGTAAGTTCCATCTTTTTAATTAATGACAATTAATTCTATTCTTCCCAATTCTATTGATTCTTCAATTATGAATTGTGAGTAGTTTAATTAGGGATTTGGGATTGATGAAGGGGTTGATCATGATGTATGGCTAGTTTCTTGATGGATTAATTGCATGAATGCCGTTTGATTTGTGTTTGAATAATTTAATTGATATCTTTTGTAACCTAGAATCGCGACTAGAATTACAATTGCATGTAGAATAAATTAAGAGAGATCTAATTTGTTCTAGGACACATTCACACACACTTAATCGTTCGCTAAGAGATTAGTAGCGATTAAGGGGCCGTAAGCTCGCTCTTCTTGGCAATAATTTAGGATCCTGTCGCATGAGAGATCAGCCTGGTCCCCTAAATTATTGTACTCTACGCCGCGAGAGCGGTAAGAACTTAGTAATGATTAGCTAGGCTCAATTAAATTAATTTCATGTAACTAGTTTTTCACCCGTGCGTTGCACGGGGTGAGAAGTTATTGTATTTTATTGTATTTTATTTTATTTTATTTTATTTTGTAGTAATGTAATTATTTTCACAAATGAATGGATAGCTAAACGAAGCGTAAACGAACAAAGCCATACATGTAGCGCTCTTGTATAGGGGTGGACTCGGGCCGGTTCCGGGCCGGTTCGGGCCTCGGTTCATGAAAGGGGAGGCCCGGAACCGGCCCGGGTAACCCCCGGGTCCGGTTTGGGCCGGGCCGGGCCTCGGTTCAACTTAATTTTTTTTGGCTTTTCCTAATTAATCCCCAACCCTCCCCCCCCCCACCCCCAAACCACCTCAAATGGCCGAAAATACCCAGCCCAATCCAAAAACTTAAAAAAATTTCAAGAAAAGAAAAGAATAAATAAATAAAAAAATAGGCCCGGACCGGGCCCGAACCGGCCGGGCCGGTTCACCTTTTCAAGGGCCCGAGCCCGGCCCGGAATCCCAGCGGGTTGGGCCTACCCGGACTGGTCCCTGGCCGGGCCGGCGGTTCGGGCTGGTTCAAACAGTGACCGGGCCGGGCCAGGCCGCCCGGCCCGAGTCCACCCCTACTCTTGTATATGACTTTTAATTTCATGCCCTTGAATTTCTTATTCGTTGACCACTGTGTAGAAGTATTAACATGTTGCTAATTGTCTAGAACTCTGACACTAAAGTTTCAAATGGATCAAATTTAACGTAGAATTATCAGTGTAGAAGTGACTAAGAACCTTAATACGAAGTAGTTATTTTTCTCTACCGGAGCTTTAGAATTATTGAAGACATAAAAGATTAACTTATAGGGAAAATTA